AGCTATATGTAAATAACCTTAAAACCCTAAGAACTCAAAGATTTTTGTTTGAATTTACTCAAAGGTACAAGGTGCAAACTTTTCTTTCCATTTTCTTTGGGTTTTCAGTCAGTTTCATTCTGTATAGTCAATGCTGAATATAGACTTTGATTTGCATGAAATTGAGGTTTGAACTATTAAGCCCCTAATTCCCCCCCTAACCATGCTAATTAAGTAAGAGTTTGCAGGCTTACAGCTTCTGCAGCCAAAGGAACAAAATTGAGAGAAGTTCATCCTCATCAAACCATTGATAAGATCGAATTTCGTCCCCATGATTTGTGGTGTTTAAGATTCAGTCATTCAAATCAACAAAGATCATGCAACAGGACATTATCCAACAAATTTGGATTCACAACGCCTTTTTGACATCTAGTCTAGCGTGTAAGCATCAATTTGCGGCTTTAGGTCCTCGAGAACAACGTGGGGAAATTGAAAACTTCTCTGCCTATATGCTCTTCGCCATTAGAGTCTCCATCGAGAGTATATGCTATCACTGGTTCTATCATGTTTTATCTCTTTGACCTTTTTTTGCGTTCATTGCAATCAAAATTATGCACTATATAAACACATATACATATATATATAGCTTGCATGTGTGTCACAAGCAATCGAAGAAGAACAAATCCACGTTGCATTGCTCCATGACTTCTCCATTCATCATCATTTGGATTTTTATGAAAAGGGTGTTGAAACTTGGTCATTTGAAGTCATCCAATGCTTAGTGTATATTGCTATTGTTGATCAGATTCATGGAATCTTGTCTAGAAATCAAAACAGCCCTAGCCATATTTTCTCCAAGTTTCCATCTTACAAACGCAAGCTCTTGATGCTTCATTTCAATATTACGCGACAACGATAGAGATTAAAGCCCAGGATGTCTAGTACACATAAGTTTGGGGTCAGGATTTTCCTTTGCAATTTCGAGCTAAAAACCTTGACACATGAAATTTCGGTTGCAGAATTTGGTTTACAATACCGAACAAATGATTTGTATAATTTAATTTAATTCTTTTGTGTAGGCTTATGGATCATAAATAATCCCTTGCCAGCTAACAGTTTCTGTAGAGTCCATCACATGTGATAGGGTCATGCAATTGTGACTTCGCTGAAATCTGTTGGGAGGAGGAGGAAATTAGGCCTTTCTTGTGGCGTAATGCTCGGTGGTGGTGTCGATATGAACTTTGTTTGGCACCAAATCCCCTCCCCTGGGAAAGGATGACACAAGGGTAAATTGAAAAAAGAGGCTATGCCAAAAACATTGAACGAAAATTTTTTATCCAAATTTAGAAAGACAATGTGTTAAAATACCTAACAACTAATGGACTCTTTGTCAAATATATCATTCGGTTCTAAAGCAAAGGGAACTATCAAGGAAAGCAAAGCATGATAACTACATCCAAGAACATGGAAAATTGAAGAAAAAAATTTTCCCAATACCATAACCTCAACAAAATCCCATGTTAATTTCATAACATAATCTTTTTGTGCTAAATTTATATTAGAATTTAATACGTATATTATAATTATACGTAACTGATGAAACACGTGTAAAATTTTATTTGTAATTACTTCATTAGTCACATATGTCACATTTTTTTTTGCCTTTTTAAATCATAAAAAAACTTTAAATAAGTTAAATTCATTACACCATATTCATGCATTGTATTAAACAATTTGAATCTGGACAGTTGAGATAAGGAATTGAGTTTAAGACGTATGAGTTTGTGCTATATCATGCTTTCTTGGTTAATCACTTTGACTCAATAACCTGCAAAAGTATTTGAAAAACAGGATATGGTTTGTTTAGAAGATGTAAGAATAGGATTAAGGCTGCCTGGTTTTGCATTGATACAGCAAAAACTAGAACATACAAAAGTGATCGCAGGTAGGTTTGTGAACAAGTACATATGCACATGGAGATTTCAATCTTTTTTTACACATAAAGGGGATGTTAGGTTTACCATCATGAGGGAACAAGAAGATGACTGATAACATAATTTGGTAACATATCATCTGCGGCCATTAACTTAAGGCTTATGCAACTCACATGGGAGACTACCCCAAGAATGTTGACCACCCATGTTCTGAATAAAAGCTTCGATTTTCTTTAAGCCATTGTGCGATAAGAACGACTTTGATCACTGTCTACATAGACTTGCCATAAAATTGCTTTACCCCTCTTATCCATTTTACTGAAGGAAAAAGGAAACCAACTTCATGGACTTTCGTTAGCCATAACCAAAAGTTTAATAAGACCCATTAATTCAATTGAAGGTGAAAGATGAGAATTGCAAGCATATCCAATTATTTAATTCTTATTACTCTTTCAAGTCGGTTTTTGATCTGGTTCTTGATCGTAAACCCTAAACCTTGATATCGAAATAAATAAATAAACAAAATCATATTATTCTAAGTTAATCATAATGCCTCCATCACCTTTAGAAAAAAAAATAAAGTTACATAACCATGGAGCTCTAGACATAGTGGGAAAAATTCAATATCTGATTCAATGAAGATTTGAAAGAGATCATGGGGGCATGCAATTGTGATGTAGGATCATTCAAATGTAGATATTTAGTAATAGTGGGGTCCACAAAATCAGACAAAATATTAGAAAATAAAATTATTTAGTGGTGCATTGAGATCTTATATGTCACTTCTAGGAATTTTGAGGGATCATGGTTTCCCTTCTTTACATGCTTCTTTGAATTTTCGGTAGTGGCTTTTGGGAATATATGGAGAGCAAAAATGTGGTTGCTACAGAAGAAATTGATTCCAAATATGGCAAACCCTTTGGACCATTCCTTGCATTGCAATACATTTGCAAACAGTAGGCTTTCCCCTACTTAGTTGAGTGGTTGAATTCTTGTAGTAACTCTTGTTTTTTAATATATAAACGCCTTTTAAATCTTGTCACAACGATAAGTAACTTTCTCTTATTTTATAAATATTATCTTTTATTTCAAAATAATCAAATTCAAGTCTCAAATTTTAATCATTACAATATCCCTTCCTTCTCATTTGAGTAATGTTTTTACTTCGGTTCATTATCTTTCATTTCATTAATAGTGTTCTTTGGAATTCAAACAATCAAAATTAAAAAAAATTGACTGAAAAAATTAAAATTGAAATATTAATTAAGAGACATAGGGAGTGCCAAAAGGCTTTCAAGGAATCCTAAGCAAACATATTAAACATTTGAAACAATTTACATTTTGGGTACCTTAACACTTTTTTGAAAACAATGATTTTTGTGAGCAATGCCAATACATGAACTCAATGGAGCTGTCATGGTCTCAATGTACAATCCTCTCTTCTTTAATACCCTTTCCCCTTTTTCTTTTTTCATTTTCTTCTCAAAAGGATGGAAAAAGGATGGGGACCCTTTATTGATTCAGTTATTCCACGTGAAAGTCTAATCTTCTGGTTGTGAATTTTCATTAAAGATTAGGTGAAGCATGGGTGCCATTAGAATGATTTTCCTTGTCTTCCCTAAGTGTGTAGATGAGGGGGTTGAGTTGAGATGTTTTGAGATCGTGATCGTGTGATTGTGGGGTTTCTCTCCTGGTGATGATAAGAAATGGACTACAAAAAAGTGACAACTGATGGGACCCCTTGGTCCATCATGAAACCAGCATCGTGACCCCACTTAGCCATAGTTCCAACCTCCCCTTTCAAGATTTTGGCCCTGCCCAAGGGCTTGGGCCACTAAAAAGTAGTGACAAAACCCTTTGATTCTCCCCTAGTTTTCGCTAGCTACCTAGGTTTTTAGGTATTGGTCAAAGGCACTAGACCCTCCCCGTTACTGTTTCAGAAATGGAGGAGCCTCAACCATGTCGATTAGCTCCCCCTCTATTTTTCCCCCAGAGGAAAGAAAGGAGGAAGGATACTGTTTCCTTAATAATTAGGGCCATGGAGCCATGTCTAGGTGTCACCCTTCTTTACAGCTTTAGCATAATTCATGGTTCACACTTTCCTTGTAAAAGTTTTCAATTTTAATTCATGTTAAATTTCTGTTGGAATCGAAAACTGAACAAAAAGTCAAGAGAGACATGTAAATTTTTTTAAAATTTTAAATCAAAATTATGAAAATGACAATTACTAACGAATATCCATTACATTCAAATAATGTAAAATACTGATATGATTGTTTGTAATTACATATTAAAACAAGTTGATAGATAAATTTTTTATGATATTGATAAATCAATGTACGTGTTTGATAAGATTAGATAGATTAATGTCTGCAGATTAAGCAGTGTGAAAAAATAAATCAAAAGTCAAAGTCGATTAATCCCAATCAAGGTATACATGGAAATAGTGGTCGCATTGCGACAAAAGAGAAAATGAGAGCAAGTGCTGGAGAATAGAGGTATAGCTGAAAGAGGACAGCCAAAGAAAGAGAGAGGGAAGGCAAAGCCATGGCCCTGAACGTCCTGTTTAGGGTTTTAGTGGTGCAAAGCCTTGGTCACCAAAATGGATGGCTCCGGTGGTGGGATTTGCATAGCAAAAGCATGACATCGGAAGCGTAAATTGAGCTTGTTCCCACCCCACACTTATCCGTCCAATATTATCTTTTTGTTGCCTTGTTTGGCGTGTGGTCCCCACCCCCACTCTCTGCGCCACGTGGCAACCTCTTCCACATCTGGGAATTACACGTGTCGGTCAATCAACGGGCCGAACTCCCCCCCCGCACCCCCTTCCCTACTCTCCCAGTTCACGTCATCATCATCACCCTTTCCCTTTCACATGTTTCTACTCGCTAACCACTGCATGTCTTTTGTCAACCTGTGCATGGATTCAGCTAAATTAAGCATAGGTTCGGAGGAGTGATAGGAAATGACTAAAATACCCTTTAAACCCTGGGTCGTGTCTTGCTCGGGTTGGGCGGGTGAAAGAGTAACAGATGCCAACTTTGGTGTACTAAATCCTTGCCCACCCCTTTGGCAGTCTTTTGGTTCAATTTGCCCATTTAAAAAGAAATGGTCATGACAACTCTAGGCAAACATTTGTGAGCAGCCTCTCAAAATCCTATGATGTTCTTCTTCCCTGGTAAACTTTCAGGATTCAAGGTCAAAAATTCTCAAGTTCAACGCTGAATTAAGCATATTCAAAGGTGCAGTGATGGAGAGCACCGACTCATCGACAGGCTCGCAGCAGCCAAACCTCCCGCCAGGGTTCAGGTTCCACCCCACGGATGAGGAACTAGTGGTACACTACCTCAAGAAAAAGGCTTCCTCGGCTCCTCTGCCGGTTGCAATTATTGCAGAAGTTGACTTGTACAAGTTTGATCCATGGGAATTACCAGGTAAAAATGTCTCGCCCACATGATCTTTTTGCCTGCAAAAAATTTATTCGAAAAGCGTAAACAGGAAAAGAGGAAAAAGAAAGTGAAAAGTGCATATATAGGGATTAAGCGTCACATATGTATAGGACTATGAACAATAATCTTTTGGATTTTGTTTTGGGTTTTCAGCTAAGGCCACGTTTGGTGAGCAAGAATGGTACTTCTTTAGTCCTAGGGACAGGAAGTACCCCAACGGCGCCAGGCCTAACCGGGCGGCTACTTCGGGTTACTGGAAGGCTACCGGAACCGATAAGCCGGTTTTGACCTCGGGAGGGACTCAGAAGGTTGGTGTGAAGAAGGCACTGGTTTTCTATGGAGGGAAGCCCCCTAAAGGGATCAAAACCAATTGGATCATGCATGAATATAGGCTTGCAGATAATAAGGCTAACAACAAACCCCCTGGATGTGACTTGGGCAACAAGAAAAACTCACTAAGGGTAATCATAACTCGTCAGTTTCTACTCCAAGTTTTTGGTTATATCAGGAATTGATTGTGTGAATACTTGTTTGTTTACTAATGAGAAGTTTTTTTTTTTTTGTTGCTTTTTCGTTTACAGCTTGATGATTGGGTGCTGTGTCGAATCTACAAGAAAAACAACACGCATAGACCTATGGATCATGATAAAGATGACTCCATGGATGAAATGCTCGGGCCAATACAACCTTCAATATCAATCGGTAGCCAACATAATGCAAAATTTCAACTTACAACAAAGGGAACAAGTTTTGGCACATTGCTAGAAAACCAGGAGCACAGCCTGTTTGAAGGTATGATGGCGGGGAGTGATGGGATTAACAGTGGTTCTATATCTCAGTTGGGGTGTTCAAGCTCAAAGCCTGACCTGTCTATGGTTAATCCTCTCAAAAGGACTGTCCCATCGCTTTTCTGGACCGATGAGGACACGGCTGGCCCTTCAACAAGCAAGAGGTTTCATGGGGATAGCAATGATGGAAGCATGGAGAAAACAGATGGGAATGGTTCCATTGCAACTCTGCTTAGCCAACTGCCACAAACCCCTCCATTGCAGCAACAGACATTGCTGGGGTCAATGGGAGATGGGATTTTTCGGCCTCCATATCAACTTCCAGGGCTTAACTGGTACTCTTAATTCAATTCCAGGTAGTGGGTATTCCATAGATATACCATCTATACTTCTTTTTAAAAAAAAAAAATCAAAATTTTCAAGTAGCTTGGAAGCTGTCAGTGCCATGTTACATACTTGTTGATACAGTCGCCAATATAGTCATGAAGCTTTGGATTGGGATTAAGATTGAGATTTTGGTTGTTAAAGAAAAGAGATTAGAAAGACTTCAGTCCTAGATGAACCGGCCACGACGTTTCTTTGAGTGTAACAGGTAGCTGCCAAATTTCATCTCTTGAGGCCATAGATATAGGTAAATTTTATATAATATATACTTATATATATTATATACATATAGTTTGCTATTTATGTAGAGAGATGCAAAGAAGAAAAAAGAAAAAGGGGGAAATTAATGAGGGGAGGTTGCAACTTGATGTAGAAAGAAAAAAAAAGAAGAACAATAAAACTGATGGATGCTAAAATATTTTGCTGTAGGACACAACATTGAAATCTTGTATAGAAATCCTTGTTGTTGTAGAACTTTTTATTGTTGATGATGCACATTTTAAGAATATATTGGTTATGGTTTGTCTACATCAAAGTTATGTTTCATCTTTGGATCATCTACACACAATATTGTGCCATACTTTCTTTTTTCATCACTCAATCATGCTTTGCATTTAAAGACATAATGCCTTTTTATAGTCACTCCATAAACCCTAGAGGGTAATGAAAAGCTTTTAAATTTCCCCTCTTTTTTTTCAGTCTTTTTTCTTCTTCTTTCCAGCTAGTGTGTTTTCCTTGTATGCAATCAAGAGCATGCAATGTGATGGAATATAGGTCAACTAGAAAGTGGCCACTAGGTTGATTAGTGTACTTCCTTGATGCTACATATATATACAGGATCCAAGTGGGGAAAGGATGGGAAAATAGAATCATCAAATTCACAGCTTCCCCACTTCTGAAAAGAGGATCCATGAACAATTTTTCTCATGGTTTTAAATTTTCTTATCTAGTGGGAAATATAATTCAGGGGGTACAGGAAATAGTCCTAGAAGATCTTTTTGAGTTTCAATATATAATATTATATAGTAATAGAAGAATCATCATTAACATTAATAGGTATGAATTCCCAATAATTGGTTGATAAGAGCTGAAGTATATGGGGCCATATTACTATCAATAATCTCTTTTATTATTCCCATCATTATGACAATACATATCAATCAACTAATTTATATATATATATATATATTAATGTCTTTGTAGATAGTATTTTTAATTATTATATTTTTATATAAAAAACTTCCCCAAAAATCAGCCACAGTTTCTAAATTTGTACATTGCTATATTAATATAATTTTATATACAAAAGATTTCCTTTTATAATGTTATATAGCTCTGCCCATCACCTGATTTTATTGCTAAGCTTGAAGCCTTCCGGTCAATTGTTGGGGTGTGCAAAACAAATATCAATCCTCTTAATTATCTCTTTTCAGTTTTCCAAGCTGTGGTTCCTTTCCCTTTGACAAAGATGGTTGATCTCCTCGACAGTGAAAGTTAACAACTTGGAAAATGTTTGAATTGAGAAAGAAATGATGCTTTAAACAAGGTTGAAGAGGATATATAATAACTTAGGCCTTAAGTTTAGAGAATCTAAGGCTTGAGAGCAACCCTGAAAAATACCAAGTTTCAAAGCATTAACCAATTGTTAAGAGATACATCTCCCCCATGACTAGATGCTTCAACAGTTTCTCAAAATTATTTCCTTATCATTAGGTCCTCTGTACGTGTCCATCTGCACGTATTTATCAGAATAAGTTAAACACAGAATTCGAACAAGTGGGATAAAGTTTCAACATGTTGAAGTCATAAGGTTTTATCTATATACAGGGGGAATGGAGATTTGATTTTTATTTTTATTTTAAAAAAATTATATACTATCCAATAAGTTAAATGCTCGTGTATGTTGATGTCATGACTTTACATTCGGAAGTCTTTGTAGAACTGGAAAACCGATCTTGAATTAATCTAAATTTTGTTTTTCTCATTGATTTTATCTGGAAAAGAAAAAGAAAAATTGGGTGTAAGGTATTAGTGTGTGGATGTCATTTTCTTGCATTGGGTTGATAAGACATAGAAAAGTATATTCCTTGACCTAGAGGTCACATAAATTGACAACAAGAGGCTACCTCACAAAATTAATGGCCTTTTCTCTTTTGAGACTATGGGACCATTTCACTATCATCAAAAGGAATCATTATCTTAAAACCACACAAAATTAAAATCCCTTTAATTACATTCCTTTCAAAGGAAAACGTACAAAACAACTTTATAAAATTTCCTGTCAATTACTGATTAATTTTGGAATAGATATTGAAAACCAGTGAAATGCGTTTATCTTCTTAATTTTTTTTTTGGAGGGTGCTATCACACAATTAAAGCCTTTAAAAATCTCTACAAATACGAGTTTTTATTCTATTGTAATGATCATATCTTTTCATGTGCTTCAATAAACTCATTATTCGGATTCGTGCCCCACACATTCGTAAATATTTTATACATAAAATAATACATATAGATATATGTTATGTATGCATATATGGGATGCGTAAACATGTTTACGTATAAGTCGTGAAAAAAAAAATTAAATTTGCATGAATTTGACTCTAATAATAAAAAATTTTGATTGAACAGAATTTGAGAATGTGTGAATCTGTGTCAGATTAGATCATGAACGTTAATAATGGCACTACCCAAAACCTCTACATATCTAAAGAAAAGTTAATTTTTCCCATCGTCTTTCCATCAATGAACCTACCAAAAAGAATAGTGATTTCATTGATGAGGCTATGTCCTGCAGCCAACAAAAATTCTTTACAAATCTTAGGCCCATAATTCATTATTGAACTGGAAAAACAGAGAAGGGGGTTACGTAGCATGAACAGCCTAATTAGGGCATTGACCCACAAATTGACACTTGATTTTTCTGAGCCCTTCCGGGAACACAAAAGCACCCAGGACCATGGACAATCTGTACAATAATTCTAAGCCCAAGTTGCTCATGGCCCATTTTTTTAAAACATGAATTTCATTGACCAATTAGCTAGCTAATTATTAAAGATTAAGCAGAATACATAATCAATTTGATAATCCCAAAGGTCCTCACATTCCCATTGCCTGTTAATTACTTGTCACAAGCAAAGATCTACCTGTACAATTTGCAGAAGCAAAGAATATGTAATTGAGGGTGAGGGCAATGTACTAACATTTTGCACCTTGATCTCCTAGAAGATTATCAAAATAATCCATCAGTCAATCATTAAAAATAAACTTGCAAACAAAAAATTCATTTCACTTGCAATTTTTTTTCCACGATCTTTCAGATTATTCAATCACAATTAAAAATTATATAAAGATCCATCATAAATCTGAATTTCATATAATATTTTCATGAATCTTATCTAATTCGTGATTGTGATTGGTTAAGTGTCGGGTAATAATTATAAGAAATATATTTTTTTATATCACACTTATCATGTGAAGCGTCATGCGCTCTGTAACTGTTCTTAAGTTTATTAATACTAGATTAATGAATAAATTAGGTAAACATATGAAGATAAATGACATTAACAAACTTATAAAGTCATGCAATAAAAAAGGAATAAAACAGGTGGGCATGATTAGTATGTTGAAATCACCAAGATTTCTCTAGTTTTGCCTTGAGGGATACACTTGTGCTTAAAAAGAAAAAGGAAATTAGAAGAGTTTTCCTTGTTCTAGAGGGATTTGCACAGCTGCAATCAAGCTGGCAAATGGGTTTTGCTTATGTGTTTTGATGGAATAGTGGGCAGGTCCAACAAGGACCCAGCACATACCAACCCTCTCATTATACAAATAAATCATCCAAATTCAAAGCTTAAAGTAATTCCAAAAACTGTACCAAAAATACCAAAAACAGGGTAGACAGATCAAACATGTGTGGTGGATCTTTGATGCCCTTCATTGATGAAAACAGCTCAGAGGTATTTACCATTAACTCCATAGAATATGATAGATTTATGTTCCTATAGGGGGCTAATTATCAACCTAGGTTAGGTTCAATGCTTGATGATTAGATGCCTTCAGTCATTTTCTTGTGTAAAGGCAAAGCACTAGAAATTGAAGAGAAACAATTTTGACCCCTAGGAAACAAATATTATCTTAAAAGTTTTGAATTTTAAATTCGAATTTAAAATATAACGAGACGAGATTTAATAAGTTAGAGAAAATTACATTCGAATAATCCAAATTTTTATATACCAAAAGAAAAAAAAAAGGAAAACATAATGGTAAATAAAATCTTTACAAGGTTACCAATTACATCAGAAATTTTGGCAGTGGAAGACAAAATTCAACAGTGGGGTTGGATTAGTGATGCACTGAACTCAGAGAGGGGGAAATGGCGTAGGCCTAAGCGTGTATGTACTTTTCCAGGTGAATTGATGGTATCGAATATGCATTTGTGGCTCAAAAATCACATGTAAAAGAATCCTTATAAGCGTTATCAAACCGAGTACCCATGGAGGAAGCCATGGCTATGATTAAAGATTAGTAGTCAAAATGGTATGGCCATGGCCACTAAGACTCGAAATTAAGCTACTCTACTTAATTACCAAGACCCAAAATTTGGTCAAAGTCTCCCAACCCCATTTGTAGAATCGAGTTGGAGACAGCCTTCCAAGAAATACTAAGTCAAAAACGAGAAAATTCCCATCTATATAAGCTTAACAAATCAAAATGAACCAGGCATGACCAGTTCATCTCACCAACTGTATACTCAAACTACCAACTCCACAATATGCAATTGACTACCCCTGAGAAACAAACTACAGAAGGTTTAGATATTCCGGCGAAGCCCTCTACGGCGGGAGACTCGACGGAGGAGAATCAGGGTCGTCGAAAGAGTTACATGTCATCGTCATCATCATCTCCTAGACCCCGGCCGAGGTGTACATGTTCAAACCATCCAGGTTCTGTACCTTGTAGCAGGCATGGTTACATGGTGCCTAGGCAGAACATGAGGAGTTACAGTGCTAACAAGGAGATATTGAGGAGGGCATTAACACCACCAAATCGTAAGATGACACTTAGGTGGTGGAACTTCAGACCAACGCCAAGCCGGCTTTCTAACATGTCTATGGCATAAGGGTCAGAAGCTTTCTTTCTTTTATACCAGTTCTGACGGCAGGAAATTTTTCTGATCTTTGGAAGAATATAGAGAGTATGTAAATGATTTAATTGGAGGGTTAAACTTTTGGGTGATACTGTATATCTTGTAATGGAATTTTGAGCCGTTTTTGTTGGTATTTTGGATGGTTTATTACTCTTACATGTTCATAGATATAATCTGTCCAATTCTCTCTGGAAACTTTATAATCTGCTGATAAAACCAATCCCAAGATTCACTGCGATAATAGTCTGTGAGTCAACAGCAGCAAGAGTAAAGCAATTATCTCATCTAAGATCTAAATCTGCTCTGTTTTTCTTGCTATGAAGAAAATGTTTCATCTCATCTGGTTTGAAATTTCTGTTGAATTCTTCATGTTCCCATCCAACAGTTAATTAGCTTCAGAATTAAGATGAACTTTATGGGTATATGACAGCAAAAAGCAGGGAGGCTAAATGAGATCCTGATTCTTTAAGAATCTGATGTAGAAGATTTTGGTTTTAGCAATTCCCTTTTTCCTTCTGAGGTTTTTATATCATGTTATTGCATCACCATATAAGCAGCAAATTTCTCTGAAATGAAAATGGAGAGGGGGCCAAGGATGGTAAAGAACTATGTGCATAATCTGAACAACAAATTGTGCCTGGAAATGCTGATATACAAAGGATATCAGCAACATCAGTAGAAATACAGTATATTGAAACGAAATATAAAACCAAGTAATGCAAAGATACTATAGACCAACCAGCATCTGGAATGAAAGCAAAAGTTAGCTTCTTCCCCATTCTATATGATTCCAAAGTGATCATTGCAAAAGTTTAGACAACTTCCACCCCAAAAGGGAAGAAGAGTTTAGCACGAAAGAATGAACAAATGAGAGCACTAGAAGATTTGAGTGTACCATTGGTGCGTGAACATAAGCATCAAACAAGTTCAGTCCTTGCCTTCTTGGTTAGAATTTGGATTCAATATTTTAGTTTATTTCAGTTTGATTGCTCTGTCCTACTGCTTACCATCTAGTAAAATGTTAGGCGCTAGGTAATATATAATCCTGCACTAATTTTTTTGCCATTTAATCCTTCTAGCTATATTTTGAAGCTTGGGTTTGGAGATACCTTTATTATGATGGGCTGTGCCTAACCGAAGTAGGCAGAAGAGAATATCTCACATAGGTTTTTTTTACATATCCAGTATTCACAAGCACATGCTCTGGATGCAATGCGTCCTTTTAGATTTAAATTCACTGCAAAGGTGAGTTCACTTGAATAGCTGTTGATTCTCTCACTAAAATAAAGCTAAAGTTTAGTTCTTTTCCTTTCTTTTCTTTGCTTCCCCCACCCCATTCCTTTATGGCATCAATGGGGCTAGAAACAGAGTAAAAGAATCTATATTCAGTATCACTTGCTCACTAGCTCTTGATAAAAAATGTATGGGAGCCAAAATTTTCATTATATATTGGTAATATGGCCAAAGGATCCACATATCTAACACCCAAAAAGAAAACTATAGTGGAAAATTAGGCAGATAAAGGTAACAGAAAGAGGGAAACCTTCTAAGCATCATCACTGATACTGTCTAAGAATTTTGATTAATCACTGTGTTTGAATGACTTTTCACAAATAAAATATTGACACATCATAAGCACACTCATGGTGTGTTATACAAATTCGAGAATCAAGCTTAAACATAATCACTACAATGAAGCAGCCTCTTTGTGACTTTCATCACTACTGGTTATCAGGACCTGCTGGCATTGTCAAGCCTGTCTCAAAATGAAATCACAATCGAGCAGCATCCAGCCTATTTTAAGCAAAGCCATCAGATACAATGTGCTTTCCTTGCATTCAAACAACATGACTAAAATATAACCAAACACACACCAAATTTCCTCTTCAATTCAAATTCTAAGAATGCTATAAGTACTATAATGAGACTGTTCTAGATTAGCAAGGTCAACTTTTCACATGGCATATATCGTTAATGTCAGTACAAAAACCATGTAAGGGTGATTCAGTATAACTATGAGTCTATTCTAACTAAACAAAAACATGCAATGCAGACAGACAAAATGCAACACCATATAGAAGGTCTGCAGCTGCACAAGAAAGACAACTTTATGCTTTAGTGGCACACGTATCCACATGGTTCATTGTGGCCCTGCAAGAATTCAGCAATATGTTATTCAAATGATAAAGAGACATAGCATTGCAGAAATTGTGCATTCAGAAACAAACACAGCATCTCGGTTTACTACTCGCATGACAACAGAACCTTAGTACATGAAACAAACAAGGGGATTACAATATTTGATCTTCAAAGAATAGACATGCTTGAATTTGTTGATATGAGCATGCTTACATGTACAATTGTTCGTATGTGAGATAGAGAAGCATCACGACTTTAGCTGACAAAGGCAAACTGATCCAAATGTAGTTTTGATCTTTAAGATGTGCTATAGATTATAATTATTGAAAATCTGAGGCAGCTTTTCCTGATCTATGGAATTTCTGTTTTTTATTAATAGTTTTCTTTTACCTCCAATAAACCACTAAGACATCCTACTTTATTAGTGCATATTCACCCAGGGTATATGACACAACTACAGAGGAAATTTATTTGAGAATATGTGTTACTATTCTTTAGGCAATTGGTAGCAGACAAGAAAATCCACCAGCATAACAACTATGCAACATCTAATAGATCAACTGATTTCAATATATGTAACACCAGGAACATATCAAGCAGAGATGCTACAAGAACACAAAGTTATACAGCCTACTCAAAAGGATTCCCATGAAAATATCAGAAATTGTTCTCTATAACCTATTAATAAGATGCTAGAAAAAGCAGATCCAATGGATAGAGTTTTCCTTGTTTTTAGAGCCTCACTCATGCTTGATCTCTATGGCCAATGTCCTTAACAATCTCCTTAAAGTATCAATGGATTATCTCTTGTATCAAACCTTTAGCCCATTAAGCTAATAGAATCGACGTTGTGCACAAAAATTATATATGCAAGCTTGAATTTGACATTCATAGAAAGCCAGCCTGAAATAAATCTCAAGCCCATATGGTATTAATTACAAGACAGTCATGAAAATAACAGGCAGTGCACTTACCAATCCTATGTCATTTCACTTTCTCCCTCATTAGATACATCAGAATCACTTGAATCATTAACGTGATTTGCATCATTCAGACTGCCAGTATCTATCCCTTTGTCAAGGAATACCAAGCTCTCCACATAACTACCAACAAATAAAAACCCTGCCTCTGCCTCAATTCCAAGATTCTCCATTTGTCGGCAGTTCAAATCCAGTGAAGCCAGCTCTCCACCATCCACTTCCAATAAAACTTCCCTATTCTTCCTAAACCCCAATACCCTTGGTAGTACCTCTCCACTTTGGTCAGTCAAATGTAACACCTTAGTCCATGACTCATTTACACCATACTCCTTCATGACCCACATGTCAAGCTGCTCACCATCTTCCCAATCTCTCTTAAGCACTGCAATGGAAGATTCCTCATATTTCATAATGGACAAATCCATAGGACACAAATCAACTAAACTCTCTGGCAGCCTTATCACATTAAATTTCTCAGTGCTTATATCAAAACCCAAAACCATATTCCTGAATCCACCATCCTTTCCTCTCTGATATCCCAGCCAATGCACAGCCCCATTCACAAAGGCAGAGAAGTTATGCCCTTCAATACCATACTTGGGAGAAATAGCAGTAACCCTCTTCCAAGAATTTCCATAAAGTGAAAACAAATAAACTTCAGTCAAAGTTTCAGCTTCCTCGCCAACTGACATGCTCACAACGTTAAGTAGCTTGTAATCATTGGTTCTTGAATCAAACCCAAATCCTAGAGTTGAATTATAAGCCCTCCCACTCAAGCAGGTGACACTGGGCTTGGGCAAAGTAATGTACTTTTGAATGGAAGGATTCCATAGAATTAATTCAACAGAATCTAGCGGAAAAAAGCCATCTTGAAGACAAACTAACCCATTACATGAACCAACCAATCTAAACCAAGGCGAATTACTCTTGAAAGGGAAGTGAAGCTGCTTGTACTCATCAAAGTCATCATTGTCAAAATGTAAAAAGTAGCTTTCTTTGTCATTCTTGAAGAGCCTGAGAAGGAGGAGGTGATCGTTGGGTTTCGAAAGTGCTGTTTGTAAATGGCTCGAAATGAAAGATGGGTTCTTGATGAGGCTGCTCCAGGCTTTGCAAACTGATCTGCATTTCACCAGGGACTTGACAGGGAGTCTTCTAAGGATTTCCAGGATGACTTCTTGTGGCAAATAGTCAGACATCTTGTTTTTCCTCAGTTGCTTTTTGATGTAATGAAATGTATATCAGGAGAAGAGAAGGCGGAAGAGTGGAACTGCAGAAGTGGCTAAAAAAGTTAGACCTCTTGGCAGAGAAGAAAGAAAAGCATTGGGACTGACTACATGAAGCTTGCTTTTCTCTTCCAAAGAGCTATTATTGGCCCATTGACGTTGTTGTTGCTTTTCACTCATACCATAATATTTTAAGAATTTATTTTTCTTCTCACCTAGAACTTTTACTCTTCTCCATGAGATAAGATTTAGTAGAATGCAGGGAAAACCCCAATACAAACCACAGATCCCGACGGTCAAATATCGGACCAGTGTGTTTGCAGGCCTTTGATGAAAGGAATGTTTCTGTGGAAGAAAAGAAAGAAACAACAAATGAAAGCATTGGTTTTTCTTTCCTGTGCTAAACCAAAGAGAAACACACAGTACAGAATCATATATGACAAAAGATTATCCAAAACCCAATAGTGCCAGATGACCAAACTGACTTTTGGATAAAAAGGGTGGCGTCGTCGGTGCACCAACGCCACATCACACATATATTTCATTGATTTTTTACTAAAGCTTTTGACTCAAACCACCGCCCAAGATCACTAATTAAAAGTTGAGTACTTTCAGAAACTCTGAGCAACGAATTTAAGCCCATATGTTGCCAGCGAGACTTGAAACTCTGCCTTTCTTCCTCGAGATTTTGATGACAAGCAGTTGTTTAGGTGCAAATTTAGTAGAGATGTCTTAAGTTTCATATAAATTTGGCCATTTTTCTTCTGTTAGTTCATAATTTTGTATCAAAAATCAACCCCACAATTCAGGGTCATTGTCTTCTTCCAATTCAGTCAAGCATATCTGATCTACAACCAAATGTGGTCATCTCAAATTCTTCATCCGATTGATCCAGCTGGTTGTTTCTTGCTATAAAGCAAAAATGATTTATCTGGTTTGGGTGTTTTCTTATGAACTGTTGCATGTGCTCATCCATGAGATTGAGATTAGGATAGCTTTAATCAAAACCATCATAATAACCTGCTTGACTTCAGTAGTCAAGCCACGAGACAGATATGACTTGGACATCCGGAATATCCCTCACTCCTCTTCTATTGAAACTTCAAACATTATACAGTTAAGATATCTGCATAAAACAATTGTCTTTTACAGCAAAGACTTTTGACTTTAATATATTTACATTGTATAGATGCCATTACTAAGGCCATGCTACTTAAAGAAATCATTGCCTTGGTTTTCTTACAAACTGCTCTTCATTGGACTTGTATTTGATAGATCAAAAACTTTAGCATTGGAAGGAGAGACAACAGAGATAACAAAGAAGAGAGAATCTGAGGAAAGAATTGAGTAATAAAGCAATCTCGGAAGTTTGCAAATGATGAAGAATGCAAAAGAAAGCAGCAAAGGGAACCAAGTGCAAATTGAAGGCCTGTCAGGCTCAACAGTCGTAGCGGGCGAACAAAGAAAACGTATAGCCTCAGCTTACAAGGATTGAAGAGTAGTCCAAGCCCAAAAAGCTGTGGCTCCCCTACGTATTATAACATGCCAAACATGCAAAATCATAGATTAAACAAAATTTGACTCATGTTACCAAGGAAGTGCATAAGTTTAAGGCAACAGATGAACCATAAAAGAATCCTCTAAGTGCATTTAGCCATGTATGCCTCCCATCCTTGAAGGCGGTAATCACGAGCTACCTCTGCAGGGTTTGCTGCCTTAATGATTCCACGCCCCACAATTATTATGTCACTACCCCTATCAAAGATGACCTGGAACAACATCATTTATCTCAGTTATTAAAGCTGAAATAAATAAGGCAAATGCCACTGAAAAGGAAAAAAATCTCTTGCATACCTGTTCAACATCCTACAACTAATTTATTTGGTTAATGATCCTACACTGATAGTTGGACTATGTACACACATACATACATAACAGACACACACAAATATATAGTGCTTTTTAAGGGAAAAAATTATAGAACTAGTGATGATGGAATAAAATATTTACAGAATATGGAGTGTTATACTGCTGGCCTAGGGCATCACCACCCTTAACCATTTGAACTCCGGGAGTTGCCTGAATGAATGCTGGATTAACTGGTGCCCCAGGCCATGATGCTGGATTGACTGAGATGAAACCAATGACAAAATCAGAATGCTCATCAGCAATTTTTACTGCAGCAGCTGTGTAGTCTCCCTTGGCAAGGTTACCAGCAGAGCTCATCTCAGCAAGTAGCAACAGGCCCCTACCACGAGGCAAACCCTAAAGCAGTTCACCAAAATTAAAATTATGAGAAAGATTAGCTTAACTCCTAATTGTAAATCTTGCTAAAACTTAATACTAAGCAATTATAATGAACCTTCAATTTGAGACCATCCACAATTCCAGGACCAGATATTATGTGTGCATTAACAATATCAGCCCAATCCAATATATGGAAGATACCTCTGCAAAACAACATGACCAGAGGCCCTTAGACAAGAGCAAGGGCACCCAACAAAGGAACACTTTGTACTGCAAAAACTAAGTATTACCCTTCATACTGCATTGTGACTGTGTTACCAATGTCTGCAAACTTACGGTCTTCAAAGATCAAAAAGTTATGTCTTTCTGCAATCTTCAGTGGAAATGTGGAATACAGCATTGTTAGTTCAACTTTGCAATAACTTCTCTACTAACTATCAGTTCACAAGATCCTACATAATCGAATGGAGGTCAAAAACTGTCTTCTACAAAAGCAACACCCTTTTCAATTGGACAAATATCCACACAAGTTTAACTAGAAATCTGAAAATAGAAAGCAAGGGCAACATCCTCAGTGAATTGTAAAATAGTTATATTGACACTGGATATAAAAATGATTTCCTGAGCATGACCATAGCTTGGAAAATTTATGTCTAAGGCATTTAACATAAGCATTTGAGATATACCGCACGAAGTTTAGAACCAAAATCTGGAGTGAAATCAGGCAATATATCAACATGGGTCTTCAATAGACAGATTTCTGGTCCAACCTACACAAAAGTTCAAATATTGAGAAAGAGAATTTCAAATAAGTAATCAGCCAGCCAGAAAGAAATTTCATATTACAAACATTCAATAAATGCATAAGGACCAAACAGCCTTTCCTCTTGATAGAAATCCTTTTAAAATCCAGGTCTAAATTTAAACATTAACATCAATTTAACCTTGTTCCCAACCCCAAAATATTAAGCTTAACTCTTAAGCACAACTCATATCACATGAAAATAACATGAACAGAAAAGAATTGATATACAAAGACATGGCCAAGTAACATAAATGGGGTCCAAAACAGGTACCAGCCAACCCCAAAGACCCATTTGAAATGGCTATATATGAGTCAAACAAACCTAATCATGTATTGGATTAGACCACCTAGACATGGTTGACTTTTTTTTTTTGATATCAAGTAGTTGTCCGATAAGGATGAGGACATATATATCTCCAAATGTTGCAACTATGCCTAAGTTTCTAAGCATAAATACCACAATATTCTTCCTTGAGGCCATCAACGCATCCTAAGCCAGTAAGACTCTTTGTCAAAGAAAAAAACATTAGAAACAGTAAGACTCCAAAACAAAGATCTAACACAAAATTCAACACTTCCACCCGTGTTGTAGACTTGAAACCTTTGTTCCCCTACAATTCTAAGTGCTTAAACTTAGGGCCTGTTCATTTTTCTGTCCCAACTCCTAAATGTTAATCTCCATCCAAACAAAGAAAAGAAAAAGAATAAAATTCCCAAAGATTTCCTTAGAAAGGTATCATGCCAGGCTGCCAGTCCAAAAGTTTAAACAAAAAAATATTAGGAAATTTCTATCACCACTACTTTTCCCGGAAAGAAATAAATAAAAGATACTAAAGCAAATCACACTAAACATACTATTATAACCAATAAAAAATAAAAAGATTACTTATTTCTCATCATTTTAGAAAATTTTCCACTTCCCAAGAAAAAGTGATCTAAAAAAGAAAGAAAACTCATTTCCCATCAATGTCCCTAGAAAAGTTCCAACTTTACGAAGAAAACAAATAAACTCAAAACAGAAAACCAATTTTCCATCACTTTCCCTAGAAAATTCCCCCAACATTGCTAACAAATTGAAACCAACGCACAAACAAACTCATCCCAATTTACCTTCTCAGCAATATCAAGCAACTCAACAGCAGTCCCAACATCGGCAGCCAAGCAAAGATTACTCTCTTTCTTAACCATAACCTCAAAGAGCTTTTTCCCAGTTGGATTCTTAGCTAACTTAGCCCTTTCTTCAAACGCCAAACTCTTAATCCTCACTTTCTCCACCTTAGGCACAGCCACTTTCTTATTCTCCTCCAAAAACCTCATAACCAAGCGTTCCATCTCTTCCTCTAATTTCCCTTTCGCTCTCAAAACCTTCACCATCTCCGTCAAGGTAAACAGCGCGTGAAGTTTAATCCCATTCTCTTCCAACGTCTCCCTTCCGCCTTGTTCCCTATCAATAACCACGACGGCGTCGGTCACGTTGATTCCCAAAGCTCGTAGAGGCGTCGCTGTTTCGAGAACGGATGCTCCGGATGTAACAAGGTCTTCTACAATCAAACAAACCTGACCCTTGTCATAAACACCTTCGATGGACTTGGCAGTGCCATAATCTTTGACTTCTTTGCGGCGCATGAGCATGGGGATGGAGGTGTCAAGAGATATGGAGGTGGCTATAGGGAGAGCGGTGTAAGGAACGCCGCATATGAGGTTAAAGGGTGTTTGGGGAGGGAGAGCAGAGATGAGAGAGTGGGAGATTTGGCGGAGGAGGGAAGGGTAGGAGACTATGAGGCGCAAGTCTATGTATATAGGGGAAGAGATACCGGATTTTAGCTTGAAGTTGCCGAATTTGACAGCGGAGATTTCGTGGAGTTGGAGGATTAGGGACTCTGTTGATGACATTTTTGCGGCTGTGCTGCTGCTACTCGTGATGCTGTTGGAGGAGGAGGAGGGAAAGTGGGGAAAAGAGAATGAGTTTGTGCTTTATGTTATTATATAAAGCAGAGTTGTAAAAAGGTTTACGCTTTAAATTTATTACATGTTTGGGTGGCATAATTATAATATAATGTAATTGTAAGTAATAAGAGTATAAATAATATGATTATAGAAACGATAAAATTATAGTATTTGAAATGTAAAAGTAACGATTAAAATATAAAAAATAATATTATATTATTTAATTTTTAAGTATTTTATTAAAAAATATAATATTAATTTTTTATCAAATGTAAGTTTAATATAATTAATTTTTATATAATATTATCTTTTTAATATTATATTTTTTATATTTATTATTATAATTTTATATATTTTTATTTTTTAAATATAATATTATCTTTTTAATATTATATTTTTTTATATTTATTATTATAATTTTATATATTTTTATTTTTAAAATATAATATTATATATTAAATATTTTATTTTAATTTTTTTAAAAAAATAATATAAATTTTATTAACAATCACCATGATTTTTAAAAACAATAACAAAATATCTCTCAAAATCATGATTGACTATGAAGATTGGGAGAAATTTGTAACCATTCCAAACATTGCCTTTATGGTTAGCTTCCATGGTTTAACTATTTGGGTTTGATTCAAGAATTGATGATCCAAAGTTTTGTAAGTTTGTGCACCAGTATTTGATATAAACATTTATTTTTTTTATGGTTTTGTAGTGTTAATATTTAATTTAATTCTTTCATTTCTGCACTTGTATGATATGCAAAAGGCATTGGGTATTCATAGTCTTATCATTCTATTGCCTCTTGATGAGATTTTCTTTTAAGGTTAATGAAGGGATTAAACTGTACTAATGCAGGAGAATGTCCAAGGTAGCCTGAGTTTGGCCACATATTCCAGAAAGTAGGCTGCAGCCATGACCATATGAAAGGGGAGGATACTTGTTAATGACATGCTTTTGACATCATGTATAAAGAAAAGTTTTGGGGATGGAGAATGAACTGCACCATTAAACTGGTTGGATAATGTCTTATTGTCTTCAATACCTTAACAGTTCTTTTTCCCAAAACAAATTGCTTTGATTCTTGATATAAGTAGCCTTTGAACTTAGTTGGAAGGATTGCATGGGAAGTTTATATTAATCTGAATAGAGGACAGATATTAAAGGAGTGGAAGTATAGAGAAAGAGAATGACTTTGTGCTTTATATAAAGCAGAGTTATAAAGAGGTTTAAACTTTAAAGTTAATAGGGTTTAAACTCTATATAGAAGTTAGTTGAGTCGATTGGAAGAGTTCCTTAGAAGAAACCTCAAAGGAACATCATACACCAAATCCTCTTTCTTCGGAAGAAAAGTGAAAAAGCAGAGTTACCACTTTCCTTCCCTGTTTCCTCCCAATCCGAAAAGCAATATAGGAGGGTAAGAGGGTGTTACAGAATCTACCCAGAAAGGATTTCAGAACCAGGGATAAGAGGGTGTTACAGAATCTACCCAGAAAAAATGTCAAAACAAGGGATCGTTCCATGCTGTTTCCCTGAAGAAATCTTGCTCCAAATCTTCTGCAATCTACCCATCAAATCCCTGGGCAAGTGCATGTGTGTATGCAAAGCCTGGAACTGTCTCATCAAAGACACGTCTTTTATTTCCTCCCACCTCAACAACCAGTTTGAAAAATGTTCGAGAAACAATAACCACAACTTGCTCCTTCTTATAACTAGAGTCCGTGGAGGAGGAGGATTCAAATCAGAATACTTTCTGCACTTTGATGACCAAGAATTGAGTGAGTACACTCAGCTGCAATACGGCCCACTATATTATCATGATGTTGTTGGTTCTTGCAATGGATTGCTTTGTTTGGTGAATTTGTCATCAAGTACCATTCGCAAGTTCATGTTATGCAACCCCATTATTAGAAAGTGGGTTCGACTCCCGAGACCACGTCTTGGTAAATGGCCATGTCAAGCTACTTTTGGGTTTGGATTTGATTCGAGAAGGAACGACTATAAAGTTTTGAAAATCACCAAGAATTCTGTGACAAGCAATATTGAGGCTGAGCTTTACTCACTTAAAAAAAATCTATGGGAAATACTAGCTCCACCAAAATATGATCTTTATTCCGTTGATTACATGTTTTTTGTCAATGGAGTTGTTCATTGGATCGGTTTTGAGAGACTGGATGATGATGGACAGAGTAGCATTAAGTGTTTGCTTTTGGGGTTTGATATGAGTAATGAGGTATTTAAGGAGATTATCTTGCCCGAGAGTTTGAGTAATGTACCTCACAGTCACCGCTCAAGGTTGTCACGGTTGTATGTCGTTCCATATGCTGAATTGTCATCAATTGCAGTAATTGAGGACTGTTTTGATGGGGAACGTACTATATGGGTAATGAAAAAGTATGGTGTGATAGAGACATGGACTAAGTTGTTCCGTTTTGGAAGAACAGAAACCAGACATGTCCCAAGAGTTTTGTGGCTTAGGAAAAATGGGGGTTCCATGCTGACGGCCAGTAGAAACTGGCAGGTGTTTTCTCACGACGTGGAGAGCAATGAAATTCAGAACCTGGAAATTCAGGGAGAGGTCTTTTATGTTTTTAGTTATGTGGAGAGCCTAGTATTTCTTGACCAAGTAATTGATGCTAGGAGTAAGATTAATGCTAGTGATGAAGTAACTGATGATTCAAGTGATGACCAAGTAGTTGATGCTTGGAGTGAGAGTAATGCCAGTGATGAAACAACTGACGATTCAAGTGATGACCAAGCAATTGATGCTTGGAGTGAGAGTAATGCCAGCGATGAAACAACTGACGATTCAAGTGATGATGAAGAAGATTATATAAGAAGCTCACATTGAGGCTATCTGAGTTTGATAAACATTAAGCAAGTTTCAGAGATGGAGAAAACTCTTTATGATGTTATTTGATAAACCTCACTGTTTTTTCTACCATGCTTGAATTAGTTTAAACATAATGGTGGTCATTAGATGCTCAACTTGGGGCAACCCCAATTGTCCACTGCGATCTCCGAGTCTGATGGCAGGAAAACCTCACCTCAATTTACACTTTGTAATGAACTGCACCATTAAACTACTTGGATAATGTCTTCTTCTCTTTAATACATGCATTAACAGTTCTTTTTCTCAAAACAAAGTAGCCTTTGAAGGTTGTTGGAAGGATTGTATGGGAAGCTTATATGGATCTGAATAGAGGATAGATTGAAGGTTTTGGTTAGTCTTTTCAACATGCGATATCAACTGTCTCATATTATTTGATAAGTAAACTCCAAGGTATAAAGGCAAAAGATTCATTTGCATAGTACATGTGAACAAACTCTGCTGCTATGGATTGAAACCCAATAAAACAACAGGGTGAAGTTTCCAGGACTTGTCAAAAGCAAATGTCAAGGCAACAGTAACAACACAAGCCGCTACAACTTCATAAAGGAAAAAGCAGCAAGTGAAAACCAGTTGTTTTGATTAATTCCATCTGTTTTTGAGAGTAGATGTGCCAAAGAGAGAGCAAGAGCAGAGGGAGAGAGTGATTACAATCTACTCCAGAATCCATTGCCTTTGGAGTTAGTTTTCCCTGGAGGATTTTGGCCACCTATGGTTGGGTAAATTGCCATCTGCGGAGCTACATGAGGATTTGGTGGTGTAGGCAAGTGAGGATCTGCTATCATGAAACCATAGTGCCAAGTTATTGGCTGAACATGCTCATAGCGTTAAATGCTAGGCTTGATTATAACTTATGCTAACATCTATGGTCAAATCATTTATTAATAACAAATAAAAAAAATTAAGAAGCCTACCTTTTGTAACAATATGTATTTACGTGTTTTTATTTTATATGAGTAAATTTAAAAATGATATAATTAATTAATCGTGTTAGGATTTAAAAATTTTTAAATATGTGTATGAATATGTTTATTAAACGTGTAACACAATATGATTAACATGTTTTTTAAACGTGTCAGGTTAAATTTTGTAAGACATGATATAATTAAATTAAAATATGTACATTTAAAATTTTTATTATTCAAATTTACAATAAAAAATTATAATATTTAATATCAATAATGTTATAAATACATGTATCAATATCTCCTATATCGCCCAATTAGGTCAAGCAGCACAAACAAAGTCAAACAGCACAACGGTCTTGGAGTGTAATTTAATTTAAATCCTTATATTTGATTATATAATTAAGATTGGGATTCAATTTGATTGTTGTAATCTGATTTAAATTTTTAGATTTGATTATATAATTAAGATTGACATTCAATTTGAATATATTATCCATTTAGATTAAATCTCTTAACATTATCTTTAGTTTTTTAATACTTTTTATCTAATTTTTTTTCGATATTACATTTCTCAACAAATAAATCTTAATCATAAAAATATTTATATATATCATATTAATTGATCTTTATAGTAAGCTAAGTTGCCATCTTTGTTTGGGTGAATTGCCATCTGCGTAGCTACATGAGGATTTGGTAGTGTAAGCAAGGGAGTATGTGCTATCATGGGAGCAAAGTACTAACTTATTGGCTAAAAATGCTCATAGCTTTAATTGCTCTCAAAATCATCTAATTGTATTCATTAAAACTTATACTAACATTTTTTAATCAAATCAATTATTAATAACAAACATAGAAGCTTACTTTTGGTATTGAAAGTGGCGGTTCGTATTCATATTTCAATATATTAATGGTATAATGTAAACATAAGATAATAATAATTATATGATTAAAGATAAACATGATATGATTAATTAATCATGTTAAAATTTTAAATGATTTTAAACACATAAATATAGACTTTCTATAACAATATAACATGAGAGGATAGGATTAATAAATTTTTTAAATATGTCGCATTAAATTTTACATTTATAACTTATTTATATGAGTAACAATATTAATACGATTAATATATGATTAAAATGATTAAATTAAAATATATTTTTATTATTTAAATTTATAATAAAAAATTATAACATTTATCAAATATAATAAAATTTAATAAATTTTTATCATCATAAAAATATTAAAATAAATAAGTCTTGATATGTACAAAAATTGACCACGTGAGTCTTCATTGTCTACGAAATTTGTGAACACCTCATGGAGACGATAAGACGTAGGTCTACGAAGATAGCGGAAGAGACGCTGGAATTTAGGTTGAGTCGATCGGAAGAGTTCCCTACAGCTACAAGAAACCTCAAGCAAAAGCCAGCAATGAGAGGGTGTTACAGAATCTGCCCAGAAAAGATGTCAAAACTAGCGATGATTCCACAATATTTACCTGAAGAAATCTTTCTCCAAATCTTCCGTAATCTACCCGTCAAATCCCTGGGCAAGTGCATGTGTGTAAGCAAAGCCTGGAACTGTCTCATCAAGAACCCGTCTTTTATTTCCACCCACCTCAACAACCAGTTAGAAAAATCTTCCAGAAACAATAGCGACAACTTGTTCCTTGTTATGAGTAGCGACCCTGGAAATGAACTCAAAATGCGATACTTTTTGCAGTTTGATGACCAAGAATTCAGTAAGTACACTCAACTGCAACACGACCCATTTACTGACAAACATTATGTAGTTGGTTGTTGCAATGGATTGCTTTGTTTTGTAGACTTTAAACTTGGTTTCATTGGCAACTTCATGATATGCAACCCCATTATTAGAAAGTGTGTTAGACTCCCACAGCCTCAACCATGTTTTAATGGCTTGCCACATAATTTTACTTTTGGGTTTGGATTTGATTCGAGAAGCAACGACTATAAACTTTTGAAGATCACCAAGAAAGATAGGTTAGCCGATGTTCAACTTTACTCACTTAAAAAGAAGTCCTGGGAAATATTAGATCCACCAAAATATGATTTTTATTCTAATGATTTCATGGTTTTTGTCAATGGAGTTGTTCATTTTCTTGTTGTCCAGAGAGTGAATGATCATGGGCGTAGTCGGTGTAAGCTTTTGGTTTTGGGGTTTGATATGGCTGATGAAGTTTTCAAAGAGATAATGTTGCCTGAGAGTTTGAGTAATGCAGTTAAGCGGCCACCGTCACGGTTGTATGTGCTGTCACATGGTGAATCGTTATCAATTGCAGTAACTGAGTTTTGTGAACGTGGGAATTGTAGTATATGGATAATGAAAAAGTACAGTGTGGTAGAGACATGGACTAAGATGCTCAGTTTTGAAAAAATTGAAAACAGATGTTTCCCACGGATTCTTGGGTTTCGGAAAAATGGGGGCTTGTTATTGAAGACTTCTGAGGTTTCACAACAGCTGGAGATCAGCGATGAAATTGAAAATCTGGAAATTCATGGAAGATTTAGTTATATTTTTAGTTATGTGGAGAGCCTAGTATTACTTGACCAGGTAATTGATGCTAGGAGTGAGAATAGTGCAAAGAATGTGAGTAAAGCTAGTGATTCAATTAAGGGAGCAACTAACGATTGTACTAGAAGTGCGGCTGGTGATGAAGCAACTGATCATTCAAGTGGTCACTGAAGATTGTACAAGGAACATAGCCCAAAACAGGCAAGTATATGTAGCTCGTATTTGAACAATATTGCTATATTTTGCTCATTGTATGTTGGTTATACATGTGAACATTTAATCTCAACTTTTCACTAAATCTAATTCTAGAATTCCTGCCTATACTTGTATTTGAGCTGCTCACTTGCTCTGTAGAGTATTGTTAGGGTCAGTGCTGAAAGCATGATTGACCATGGGGATTGGGAGAAATTTGTAACCCTTTTAAGCTTTTGCTTTTATAGTTTGCTTCCATGGCTTTATTAGCCATTTGGTTTGATTCAAGGATTGATGATCTCAAAGTTTTGTAAGTTGTGCACCTATATTTAATTTAATCCTTTCATTTCTGCACTTGTGTGATATCTGCTTCAGATTTGTTTTTTGTTACTTTATATTCACCCACATTAACTTATTTACTCCAACTGTGTAATATTTATGCAAAAGGCATCGGGTATTCATAGTCTTATCTTTCTACTGCCTCTAGATGAGATTTTCCTTTAAGGTTAATGATGGGATTAAACTGTACTAATGCAGGAGAATGTCCAAGGTAGCATGAGTTTGGCCACATATTACAGAAGTGGGCTGCAGCCATGACCGTGTGAAAGGGAAGGATACTTTTTAATGACATGCTGTTGCTCTACCCTTTTATTCTCTCTTTTGACATCATGTATAAAGAAAAGTTGTAGAGATAGAGAATGAACTACTCCATTAAACTGCTTGGATAATGTCTTATTGTCTTTAATACATGCATTAACAGTTCCTTCTCTCAGAGAAATTGCTTTGATTCTTGATATACGTAGCCTTTGAGCTTAGTTGGACGGATTGCATGGGAAGCTTATATTAATCTGAATAAAGGACAGATTGAAGGTTTTGGTTAGTCTTTCCAATATTGGAGATCATCTGTCTTATACTATATGATAAGTAAATCCCAAGGAAAAGGCACAAAACTCAGTCTATAATCCCAAGATCCATTTACATAGTATATGTCAACAGACTATGCTACTAACGGACCCCTCCCTCCCCTGAAAACCAATAAAAGAAACAAGCGTTAAGTTCCTGGACTTGTTGCAGTAGTCAAAAGCAAATGTCAAGGCAACAATAACAACACAAGCCGCTACAACTGCAATAAAGGAAAAAGCAGCAAGTGAAAACCAGTTGTTTTGATTAATTTCATCAGTTTTTTTGAGAGTATATGCGCCAAAGAGAGATTTAAGAACACAGAGAGAGAGATTACAATCCACTCCAGAATCCATTGCCTTTGGACTTGGTTTTCCCTTGAGGATTTTGGCCATCTTTGGTTGGATGAATTGCCATCTGCGGAGCTGCATAGGGATTTGGTGGTGTAGGCAACGGAGGATCTGCTATCATGAGACTAAAGTACTAAGTTGCTGGCTGAACATGCTCATAGCTTTTATTGCTATCAACATCATCAAAGTCTATTGATTAAAACTGATACCAACATATATCATCAAATCAATTATTAACAACAGATATAGAAGAAGCCTACCTTTGGTATAGTTTTGATCGTATTGAGTCATGCTGCAATGAAGCCCTTGGCAAAGTTGGAAAGAAGAAAGTGGGGAGAGTAGCTAGCTAGATAACTATAAGATGGAACAATGGTGAGGTTAATATAAAGAGATGAGAAAGTGGAGTAGTTATAACTTACCAAGGTATTTGGTAGATAAGGTAAGACATCTTGGTGTTTTTGACTAAAAAATATTATTAAAATTTAGAAAAGAAATACAGACAAAAAAAAAATTGTGACGAAAGAGTAAATCTTTATCTCATGAAAGCTATCTAAAACTTAAACCAACTAATGTAAAATAATTGGATTTATGTTGGTGGCAGTAATTAGCATAATTTTGCAAAAAATTTTCTTTGTTTTCCTCATTATCAAGACCAAAGTTAAGAGAAAATAATCTCATTCTCCACTCATTCTACCCCAAAGCTCTTGCCTGTGGAGAACTGATGGGTTTTCTTAGTGCAACCCATTAGAGACTTTGCATTATCAGCAAGCAGTTAAAAGAAACCTAGTGGATGTGGCAATGAAACCTTAAAGAGTTGGGAAGATTGCTAAGCTGAAATTTTAGAATGTGAAATTTAAATTGCGGTAAACATTGAATCTTCGTTTCATTTTGTTTGTTTCAGAGGGCCGGGGTGTGTGACTGTGCCTTACTTCATTTTGAGGAGGCAACATATGATTCAAGTGATGCACTCTCAGAATATGTAGCAAGGAAGACATGACAGAACAAGCAAGTTCTTGTTTATGGTATACTGCCTGGTTATACATGTGGACGCTAAATCTTATACATTACTCAGTCCCTTTGACAACCCAATCTTGTGATAAACCTCATCACCCATATGAAACCCTTTGACCAAATTCTGATGCCTACCCCTTCTTCTCTTATAAGCAATAAAATGGACAACTCCATCAACAAAAGCCATGGAGTCACCATCCACAAAACCATACCGTTCCTCACTTGTCAGCGATTTAGTATACAGTGAAACCAAATTCTCAACCTTTACTAACAATTAAGTTGCTCACTTGCTTTTTAAGTTACAACAACTACTCCAACAAAGATTTTGGCTGTTCTTGGTATTATTTGTTCCATGCTAAAGGAATTTGGTGTTAGGGTGTTAATGCTAAAGGGATTCAGTGTCAACACCATATATCCAACAGAAAGTCCAGGGTACCACAAGTTTCGACAGCAAATGAAAGTAGGTTGTAGCTATGATTGTAGAAGAAGACAGGTGATGTGACGCAATATTGCAAACCGCTATGACATTGCCTAATTTGTTTTCCAAGAGTCATCCCCTCCATCAAGTCCATTCCTGTTCTTATGTTGTGAATGGTATGCATCAGAGTTCCATGGGCAAGGCCTGTTTTCCAGGAGGACGACACAAGCGCATGCTATGGCAAATGCTTCCTGATGATGACAGTTCTTCAGTTATAGATTCTTGGTCGAAGGCTTGGAACATTGCTGCGACAGACTTGAGTGCAACAAGCACTGAAAGTGGACCAGTACTTACATGTGGTGGCTAATTTCATTTGTTTTCATAGCGACCATTCGGAAATTCTTGTGATGGAAACCTGTTTGGGTTTATCAAAGTAAACAACTACAATGCGAAGAATAGTTTGCATGGAAATTTCTATTTTCCATAGAAATTTTCTGGTACTATATCATGATATTTCCACAGTTAGTGGTCACAATATCTCGAACAGTATATGTAGAATTTACATACATGCAATCAAAAGAAGATGGTATTACGTAACATACGCATGTAATTTCCCATTTTACGCGATATGTTCGATGATGAGCCTGTCGAGCCTCATTTCACCAGTGCTTCTGGCAAGTGATTAAACACCCTCAGAATGGGGGTTCTACTCTCAAGTGTCAATCCCTGATATCCTCCTCTTTTTCCATCTTTTAACTTATCTCATTACTTGCTCCTGCAAGAGCACAACAGGGAAAAATGTAAAGAAAATAGACTATCAAAGGGACATCATATTCTAGGCAACTCTTGCTTACCCACACATTAATCAGTCAGTTATCATACCTCAGACAGACCAATGGGTGGCAAACTTGAATTAGCTTCTGCTGGTGCCTCTGCGATCCTTGCTTCCGATTTTTCATTTGAATAACTAGCAAAGGTAAAATAAAAATTAATAAAATCACCACCAAAAATAGGACCTAAGTAAAAATTTTAATAATGTGGCATGAAAGTGTTATCAGCATGAATGTCAAGACTGGCAGATAGTATAAGGGATGGGTTCAGGGGCAAACCCAGAAATTTTTTTCAATAGTGTCATAATTAAAATAATTATAATAATAATTAAAAAGTATAAATATGTTAAAATTCATAAACCAGAAATTTTAATATTAAATTAAAGAAAATATAAATTTAGTATATTCATCTAATATTTAAAAGTAAAAATATGTAAGATGACTATAATTGGACATTACCATTTTTCATATTCTAAAAATGGTGCATGACATCGCCCGTAGAAATATTATCAAATATATATTTTTCAATATATGTCACAAAGCATTTATTCACTTAACTCATTTGCATAAACTAAGATATTAAAATTAAATAAAATATGATTTTAAATAACAAGTTATCAAATTCAACAACTAAAATAATTTTTTATTTATTAATCAAAACTAAATATAAACATCCACAAACCACATAAAATTAAATACAAAAATCAAATAACTAAACAATATATCCACCAAATAAATAAAAAAATTATAATTTTAATATATTATTTAACATGCAATACTATTTTTTATTAACTAGATTATAATTATACACCTCAATTATCAAATTAATTAAAAAATATTTAAATATGAAATATTTAAAAACTTAATTGTAATTAAAAGTTACTTATAATTAAAACTTAGAAAAGTTACTTTAAGAGAATTAAAAACACAACCAAGTACCGAAAAAAGAAAAAGATTTCAATTTTTAGACAAAGAGAGTATCCAAGTTTTAACTTTTCTAATAAAATCTTAAATTATAAAAAAAATTTGCTTTTTGATGTAATATTTAATTATTAATATATAAATTACTTTTTCATAAATCACTTTTATTTGAAGTTATTGACCCACTTTTTATAAAATTGTAAAAAAAAAAAAATCATTTGTATAGTAGTTACCCCAAACTATAAATAAATATTATAAAAATTAAATTTTTTAGAAAGTGATTGGTTTCATGTGACACCATGGGACATGGGTCCGCCCATGGATGGGTTAATATTCCAACAAACCTACCCACACCCACTCGCTGCAATAATTGGTTGTATTGTCGTCCTCAGTTATCACTGCACCAATTGCAGTATTTAATAAGTGAAGACAGCTCGTACAAATGCACTGATGCAGGGTCAACATTTCCCAATAAAATATTCTTAGAGAAGAGGATGATGACCACAGACGGATGTGCTCTCCGACAGAAAAGGTATCAGGTCAGCAGTATAACACTCACACAATGACACTAGCATATATTACTTGCATATCTAGAATCTAAACAATCTAAGCTTATATAAATGTCTTCCATCATATCAACTTTGAGATCATATACCTTAGCATCATATTAGTAAATGCAGCCAATCAGCTATGATTTTCCTCAATTGGCTAGTTTCTTGGTAGAAAGTGTTTCTCAATGCTATTGCCTAATATCCGATAATTCAATATTTTAGAGACTTACGTTGAGAGAATTGTCACCCAAATGAGTTCTACACAGTCCACCCAAAGAAGCCTTTGTTCGACCGGTATAACACCATAAGTGATAAGATGAGCAAATGGCCAAAGCTTCCATCCAGCCTACACAACAACCATGCACAAGGACAATGTCAGGTATTGTTTTTCTTTAAAATAATTTCTCCAGTTTTATTGTCATCACAGAAGAATGAACCAACACCACAATGATCAAATACAGAGTGAATAAATGGCAAGGAGAGGAGATTCTCTTACAGTCAGCATAGGCCAGAATGTTGCCTTCAATTCATTAAAAATACTGATTGGAGATTCAAGCCGCAAAAATCCCAAAACTGTAAAGTAAATGCTATTCCAGACTGCCGCCCATGCAGTTTGGTCAAAAACTACTTTTGCAGGAACCACCCACCAGTCTTGGAAGGGAAAAAGCTCCTGAGAAAAAGAGTACGTTGATTCAATAGACCACATAAAAATCTCTACTCTGAACCCGATTTGCTAGATGCATAGTGCAGAATGATCACCTCACAGAATTGGTAATAGTAATGAGACAGGGAACCATGCAGAGTAAAGCCAACAAGGCCAGATCTGAACATTCGCGAACGATCAAACTCAAAGAGAGGTTTCCCTTCAAAGCACTGAAAGTTGCAGAACACATGCAAGATGAAGTTTGAGATACAATTTATGACCAAAAAAAAAAGATTTATAGTATTTCTTTCACAACATAAACTTACCTGTGCAATCCAATCCCCTAGGGAATAGACAACTCCACTAATAACCATTTTTGCTAAAACAGGGTTTGTCTTCAAAACTTCCTCGTAAGCACTCCAGTTATGTTGAGGTGCATATCTTAGTATCTCATACAGTGTCCATCCCTAAGAGAAAGCCAACAAATGATTTCTCATGGGTCGCAGATCAAATTGATTTCTCATAAGCATATCAAACAGATTAAGATCTACTTTATTCTGAAATGTTCATGCCATCATATGGTTGTTGAAGTTTCCAAAGAGTGCTTATTTGTTAAACAAAAGATTCTAGTCATCAGAACTTTAATTAATAAGTTAAGTAAGTTAAATCCCACTATTCTATGAAAATTAGAAATAAAAATTCCCTACAAGAAATTATTCACCAGTTGGAGACTGCTAAACAAATTGTTTTTCACCACTTCAGAAATCTTGAATTCTCAAGCCACCTCATCTGTAAGCAATAAATTTGCAGATATTCTCTAATCAAGTCAACCATATTGCTTCTGCACTATTTTCATCCCCATTAACCCCCAACGTCCATCACAATGAGGTTCTAAGTGGCATATTGCTGGAAATTTATTTTGAACACATCTAATATTTGTCCAACAAGTTCTTCTAGCTTCAGACTCCATTCATATGAAAAGGCTTGCTCTAGCTGTTCTCTGTTTACACTATTCTAAACCTTATGCTTTTTGCTACAACACAAGATTATTCCAGTTGTTGCTTCAAGAAATCTCTCCTTTTTACCTATCATAGAGCATCTCAACACAATACCTAACAATAAAGCCCTCAATGAACAAGATACCACAAACTAGGAAGATATAGTATCAAAGCTATTCAGGTAATGCCTGAACAGCTTAGCACACATCTAGATCAATCAGGAGATTTCCAATATGACATCTTGTAGCAACAGAGAAACAAAAAAATCCTGAAAGTCAAAATACAGGAAATAAACTGTCTAATTGTATAAGAAAAAAAAGAAATTGAACTGCTTTAATGCCAAGATACGTACAGAACAAATAAGGAGATCTTTAACATATTCATCTAAGAAAAAATCTCAAAAAAAGAGGAAAGAAACATTCCGAAGTCAAGCAAAAAAAAGATACCTTTTGCATTCCTCAGCAACTAAAAAAGCAGAAGGAAGAAAGAGAAAGGAGGAGGGCTTTACAAACAAGAAAATAGCAGAAATTTCATAAAATTCATATATAATTAGGAAGAGTAAATAAAACCAATCTGATAGTTCTTCTCACCAACACCAATTCATATGATTTTGCATCCAATCATCGCTTTCCCCAACTAAATCTCACAATTTTACCACAAAACACAACCACTTCAAAAGAAAATGGCAGTTGCAAATATATACACAACCTTACCTGCCAATAATTATGATCAATGGTAAGCAACTTGGTAAGGGCAAAAGTACCAGCAGCAAGGACAATAGCAGCATTAATAGTTCTATCTATAAGCTTCTCCACATCCTCCTCACCTCCTTCTCCATCTCCAAATCCACTCCCTGAAGCTGAACCTGAAGCAGAAAATCCTTCAAAAGATAACCTTCCTTCATTGCCAAACCCACCTACTTGACTCGTTAACTCTCCTCCTGTGGCTTCACTCTCCACCTGACTCACCGCGACTCCTTCTTGCATGTCAGTAGCATCCTCACTTTGCACTGGTATCACATCAAGCTCCTCAGCTAATGAGTTCACCACCACCGAGTTGGCCTTCCTGTTGCTGTTCTTTCTCCATTTGTTTCTCGAGAAAGTAAGGCTCTCAGGGAGCTTTGAGCTGGTTAATGGGAAAGGTAAGGCCTGCCTAGAAATGGGTTTTCGAGGCTTTGATAAATAAAGGAAGCTTTGTGGAGTTATCGTCGTGTGAAGGGACGCCATGGCTGAGTTTCTAGGAGGATCAGAGTTGAGTCGAGCTGAGTCGACCAAGCTATAACTCGGCGCCTAACAAAGACTTAACAGCCACTTGTTTTTTTTTTTTTTTCAGATTCCCCAACTGTGGACGTGTGGGAAGAAGCAGTGATTTATATGAGGGATGAGTTTTGGGTGGAGTGATTCCATGGGGTAAGGTTTATGGTTCTGTCCAATGGATTTTTGTCAATTTTTCCTGATGAACGGTGGTGATGATAACCATGAGAGTGTTTTTGGGTTTTTTTTTGATTAATTTTTTATAGAATTAGCAAAAGTTGACCCCATCTAAAGACTCATTTTCCCTAAACTTGATTTAATTTAAAATTTAATAAATTTGACATAATTTAATTTGATTTAAAAGCTAATATCTAAAATCTTATTTTTATATCTTAAATTAAAATTATGTCAAATTTTAAAAAAGATTTATATTTGAGACATAGTAAGTGTATAGTGTTTATACCCTATCACTTATTTAAGCATTGTCTTCATTAATAAATAAATGTGAAAGTTCGTAACCCTCAAAAATAAATATTTATAATTTTAAAAATATCTATTTTAAAAGATTTTTGTAATTTATGTATTTAATAAAATTATTTTATGATTATTGGATAGTATATAAATTATCATACACATGTTACATCCAATATAAATCTTGAAAAATTATTTAAATTCACTACAACTAAATACGAAGAATCTTGACATAATATGTTAAAAAAAACTTTTAAGTTATTAAAAAATTTTAAATAAATTTTTTATTGCGTTTAATTAAATTTTTATATTTTTATTTTAAATTAAATATATATTTATAATTAATTATTAATTAATTATTATTAATTAATATAATATTTATTATTTTTATATCCGTAACGTTAATATGATATGTTGATTTTTCATGATGGATTGTGATATGATAATATAATAACGTGACACTCTCATCTTTTATAATTTCATTATAATAAGTCGACATATTACGTAAGTATCATATATTATAAAACGATAAGTATAATTTTAACTAATAATAATTCATCAAACATTATTTATAAGAGTCTATAACTCAAAATAAAAATATAAAAATTTAATTAAATAAAAAAAATAAAACTAATTTCAGTTCCTTTTGATCTTGATTGTGATAGTGTATGTTACTACTCTGGGGTGTTCTTCAGGGGATAACCTTTTGTGTGTGTGCATGAGGTAGGATTAAGATGAGAAATATGGTCCACACAAGAACAGTTGGCTCAAGGTTTGAGAAACAATAATTGACAAATTAAAAAATAAAATAATATTAATACCATGTTTTTCACATTTTTATTAAACTTATTGTACTACACATGAATTAAAATATATAATACACTCTGCATAATTTGTCTTCTGCATTTAACTTAGTAGGGTTTAGGGTTTACAATTGCTTTTATAAGCCAAAAAGGATGCCTTTCTCTCCTTTGAGTGATTGATTGCCTTTTTTTTTTTTGATTGAATGAATATTTTTAGTATTAAATTGAATTTGAAACAAAAAATATAAGGAAATTTTCAACTCCTTCTCACAAGGTTATAATCATATATATATATATATATATATATATATATTCAAGCTGTCATTTACTATTTTTAATTAACAATAGTATTTAGTTTTTAATATTAAACCATAACATATAAATGTAAGTTTTTTTTTTAATAATGAAAAAATATGATTGAACTGGGAGTTTTAAACAAAAAAATATATACACTTACGATTAGTACTAAACTGATTACTCAAGTGCAAAAAATTGGACTCAATTATTTAAACTAACTATATAGTTCAAAAAAGATATGAATGGATGTATCTTGTAACCCAAGATTAAGAAACTTAATCAGAAGTTTTTTTTTTTGGTTTTTTTTTGTTATTTTTGATTTTTCCTTGATTTGGGGTTTTTTTTATATTTATAATACGGACCTTCACATAAACAAAGAATTTCTGGGTCCCATAAGAGGGTTCCTATTGGTCAAAAGCAGCTTTCAGAAATCCAGATCATCACTGTGGGTGGGCCCATTTTAATCTAAAGCTGCCAACTCAAGCCTATAGGTAATCCACACAATAGGTCAATGGGTCCCATACAAAGCCCCACATGAGGATAACAACTTCTCAAGTATATCTCTTCATTGGTGATTCTTGATAATCACCAGAACCCCAAAGCTTCTGCCTGCAAATTTTGTAAACCACTCAAAATTCCCAAGGCCCTCATTAAATTCTTTTATTTATATTTTTTTGTTTGTATATGGAATGACAATGTGGGCAACTTTGGAAGCTTTCTTCTGAAATTTTTGTGGCCAATAACTTGACACAAGTATATGGTTTTGTCCCCCCTTGCGAGGTTGGGATTGTTCTTCATTGAGAACAAGGAATCATGGAGGAAGAGTCAAGGAATTCAATGGGGACCTGGAGTTTTTAGCCATTGGACTATTCTTTAATGAAATAAGACAGTTTTTACATTTGTTTTATAAATTCAAGACTCACATGTCTAAGGACAATGTTTATCTTTCTTCCTTATGAATGAAATTATCTTCCTTATAAAATAATTCCTTCATTTGGACAAATATGCAACCCTAATTCCTGGTCAGTGATATACCATTTGCACTGCAAACTTATGGAATAGGCCAAGGTTTGAGCATTCTTGGGCCTTGGCATTAAAGAGCATGTCAAGCCCCTGCTTTCAACCCCAACTTTAACAAGAACCTTCTGGTTTTTTTCTTGGGGATTAAACCATTTAATTTTACCTTATAATTGCAAGAGATAAGTTTACAAGTATGTTTCCTTATGAAAGTTATGGTGCTGTTTGCATTGAGAAGATCACACGAATAGGAACCAGGATGATGTTGAGTTTATTGGTAATGTTTCCTGTATATATATTTTCTGGATGATTGAAATTGCAAAGACAAACGTTGGACAAGAAGGCTGTGGAACAACGAATTTAAACAAGCGAATGCATAGAAAGTCTATGGATCTATGGGTTGGTAAAGTGCTAAACGTGATTGGCCATCCAACTTTAGTGTCAACCTTGAGACTTGTTGTGAAGGAATGTGCCCGGTTTACCTCTTACAATTGCTGTGGCAGTTGGTACACTGAAAGGAGATGACCCGTCGTATTAGGAAAAATGGACTGAATGAGTTGAAGGGCGAACAGGGAAGGTGGAGGGAGTGGAACCTGAAGTAATATAGCGTTTAGCATTTAGTTTTGATCGCTTCAAAGATAAGAAGTGAAGTATTGCTTCTTATATTGTGCATTATATCCTGATGATTTTAAAATTTGAAGCAAAAGAGGAGGAATGGACAGCGGATTTTGAGAAAAAGTTATCTGCTTATGAGCAATTCCATATCAGAAATTCCCTTGGCTCTGTCGCCTCCAAGATGTCAACTGCTTCACAACCTTGTTACTGCAACTTTAACCTATGGACAGGATCCCAGATTCTTTTTTTGCAAACATGCCTTGTCTGAGTGTTGTTGGATATCCAGTGATTACCTAATCCCATCTCTGAATGAAAGAATCTCACTTCATTGTTGGTTTCTTACTGTGAAAGATTTAAGGCATTTGTCTTCTCTTTCAAAGCTTCAGGGATTGAAGAAGTTGGACCCTTGTCCCAAGGCATGAAAATGTTGGGAAATCTGAGGTACCTTGATCTTTAGGTATTATTAGCAGAGAATTGCAAACATTATTCCCTCAAAAGAATCTTTAATCAGAACTGCTCGAATTTAAACAAGTTGTTTTTGCATTGGTTGCTGCTTGCCGACCTCCAAAACCTGAAAATGCTTTGGGTGATTCATTGCCATTTTCTTCTAGCTGTAGCAACATCAGAAGATGATGATGAAGGATAAGTAACTGACAAAATCAAATTCAATCTTTCCAAATGGAGTTAGTTTGGAATTATGGTCATCACCAAAATTGAAGAAGAGCATTTGGAGTAAAAGTGGAGAATTGGTTTGTGATTCTCTCGAATGTGTCTATTGGTGCATATAAGATTTAGATAGAATTTAAGAAATTGAAAAAATTATTTATAAAATGAGTTTTTCAATAAATGTTATTTTTAGGATTTATTTTATTCTCACCATTGGGTATGCAAAAGAGTAATTATGCAAATAACTTTAGAGATATAATGAAGTCAATGTCTAACTTCATCTTTACACTTTATGAGAGTAGATCATTAGATACACTTGATGGTTTGCATACTTGTTTGGTCTTATAGCTTATTTTTTACAGCAAGTAGATCATAATGAATTTGGATTCCTTTGATAAATAATGAAAATTCAAGTGTTTATGTTTATGACACTTCTATTACTTTTGATTTTTCTACTCTTGTTTTATTTATTTTTAATGTGTTAAAATGGTTGACAGCAAGTTCTTTATATAGGCTTGTAAGTATATTTTCTCCAAGGTTACAACTTTTTCATCAAGACACATTCTTATCTTAAAGATATCTTTGTATATGGCAAGATACAATCTTTGAATAAAACTATTGTTTCAATAATCACCTTAAGAAAAGACAACCATTCATTTCGTAAGATATAATTTTTGAACTACAATATGAAACTATAACTTTTCATATTTAAACTTTTGAGTTGTGATATTTTTCAATTGTCTCATAATCTTTGGATTTAGAAGTGTTTTTTCAATATGTCACGTCACTAAGAGACATAACTATTCACATGAAAAATTCACTTATAATTCAATAGTCATACTATGTCACTCCTTATGATATAAACTTTGAGTTAAGATAACTTTTTATTATGTGAAATAACCTTTTATCTTGAAAATACATCAAAAATTTCTTACTATTTTCAAATACCAACAATTTTGAAAATTTTGTGCATAAATGAAGGTATCTCACAAATTTGAACATTTACTTGATGAATGTGGTTGGTTCTAATCCAAATTGAGTGGTTAACTAAGTATTAAATTATTAATTCTTTATTTGACTAGTCGAGCCACTAAATACACACAAGGTTCCTTGCTTACTTTGCATTTAGTCTTGTTAACATGTTTTTTATGGCCTTATGTTTTGCATCCATTCATGAGTGCTTTCAGAGTCAGGTCTTTAACTCCTAGAAGCAGTTACAGTTCCACTCATATTGGCAGTCCTATTAAAAGTACCTGGTAATTATAGTACTTCAACATATACATGTTATGGGTCAATTAAGACTTTTGTTCAACTTTACCTTACACATTATGGGAATCAAACTCTATACACTTCAGGATGGAAAATATAAATTAGTATTTACAATCATCATATGGTAGAATGGTCAATACCCAAGACTTGCAGGTTGACTGCAAGCATCAAAGTGAGTTTCCACCATTAGAGATTTAATTGATAAGCTTGAGACCTATCCTTTTTGAGATTTTTACTATCAAGTTCTTTTTCAGAACCCTGATAAAAAAAATTTGCTAAATTTTTACAAGATCTCACATAACTTATAATGACTATACTATCACCAATTCTTTGTCTTATAATGCTATATCGAAGTTAAATATATTGACTCTTTTCATTGTATGCTTGATTATATGCCTTTGATACTGTTACTTCATTCTCACAATGTATCAAGATTGGTGTCATTAGTTTAGGCCATAATAAAATTTCATAGAGTAAATGTCTCACCTATTCCGCTTCTTAGGTGACAAATGCTAAAATTATAAATTCAATCGTCATGGTGGATTTTGCTTAACACGATTATTTCTTAAAACCCTAAGAAATAACACCCCCATCAATTATAAAAATTCAACCAGTAGTAAAGGTATGATCTATCTTATTTGAGTTCCAACTAGTATCTGTAAACCTATCTAATTCAACTAGTAGTAGAGGTATGATCCATCCTATTTGAGTTCCAACTAGTATTTGTAAACCTATCTAATTCAACCAATAGTAAAGGTATGATCCAATAGCAGAGGTATGATCCATCCTATTATAAAAATTTAACTAGTAGTAGATGTATGATCCATCCTATTTGAGTTCCAACTAGGATTTGTAAACCTATCTAATTCATTGTACTCTTTAAGTACCTTAGAACTTTATAAATAGCATACCAATGTTCTTTACTAGGATTACTTATAAATCTATTTAGCATCCTAACCGCAAAAGCAATATCCAACCTTGTACACACCATAGCATACATTAGACATTCAATTACCCTTGTATATTCATTTTGTGCTATTGGTTTGTCTTTGTTAGGTACTACCCTTAAATTAGAAACATAAGGCGTAAATAGTGGCATACAATCTGACTTATTATACTTCATTACAATTTTTTCAATATAATGAGATTGAGGCAATGTTAGGTCATTATTGTCTCTCATTATTCTTATAAGAAGAATAACATTCTCCATACTCATATATTTTATATCAAAATTCTTTAACAAAAACCTTTTTATGTCTTCCACTTATTCCAAATTAGTTATCAAAGATTAACATGTCATCCATGTATAGGCAAATGATAACACATTTACCATTATGGAATTTATTAAAGACACATTTGTCAGATTAATCTTGTAGCCATTAGTTAGCACAACCTTATCAAACTTTTGAGGCCATTGTTTAAGTGTTGGTTCCAATCCATACAAAGACTTTACAACGTTACACATATTCCCTTTTCTCTCAAATTAACACATCAAGGTATATGTTCACACAAGTATCATTATACCTTTATTATACAATAAGAATGTTATGTCATAGATATTAAATATCTATTTTGCACCATTATGCCTTCGATTATAAAATAGGAATGCACTATATGAGATTTAGATGGAATTCAAGGAACTGATAAAATTAATTTCAAAACAAGCCTTTCAATAGACGTTATCTTTAAAACTTATTTTACCTCCACCACTCGGTATGCAAAAGAGAATTTATATCAATAACCTTAGAGATATAATGAAGCTAATGATTAACTTCATCTTTACACTTTATGAGAGTAAACTGTTATATACACCTAAAAGTTTATAAAGTTGTTCAGCCTTAGAGCTTGTTTTTTGCAGTAAATAGATTATAAGAAATTTAGATTCATTTGATAAATGATGAAAACTCAAGTGTTTATGTTTATAACGCTTCTATTGCTCTTAATTTTTCTACACTTGTTTTATTTGTTTTTTGTGTGTCAAAATGATTGGTAGTAAGTCCTTTGTATAAGCTTGAAAGTGTTTTTTCTTTAAGACACAATCCTTTCATCAAAGCACATTTTAAAGATATTTTTACATTTTGCAAGATACAATATTTGAATAAATATTTTGTTTCAATAATCACTTTATGAACTTATGGAAATACAACCATTCATTCTAAACGATATAATTTTTTAACTACAATATAAAAAGATAACCTTTTATATCTAAACTTTTTAATTGTGGTGTTTTTCAATTGTCTTTAATTTTAAAATTCAAATGTATTTTTTCTATATGTCATTTTATCGAAAGACATAACTATTTGCATGAAAAATCCACTTACAATCAAATAGTTATACTATATCACTCTTTATAACATAACCTTTAAATTAAAATAGTTTTTCATTATCTATCATAACTTTTTATTTTGAAAGCACACAAACAGTATCAATATCAAATTGTTTAATAGCTTGTAACTCTGTTGTGTAATATTTGATCAATGCTTTGTTCAGTACTTTAAATATCAAACATTGCTTCCTCAGCTAGTTTTATTGCCTAAGCATAATTCCATTTTCCTTCTATAGTCACGATGATTGAAAGCTGCTTGGGAATTACTCGAAAGAACAATCCATTTTCCACAGTCGACTTAATCTTGATATCTGGGGAGCTGATTTTACAAAAAAAATTTTTGGTTATAATTGAAGAAAGGAGATTCGAGCTAATTCTACTTGAAGCTTATACTTTTCAAGACATAATTCGTGTAAATGTTTTAGTTGTCCTTGAGAATTACAAATTTCAATATGTACCTGAATGCAGGTGGGATAAATATAATATTTGTTGATCTAATTCCAACTCATAAGGGCATTGGATCAACGAGCAGAGAAGCTACAAAATCTTTCAGGAGAATTCCCGAGAAGGTGTAGCTATCTCCATCCTTGTACGCGACATCTATTATGCGTGCAAGATTGATAATACGCATGAGGAGTGGCATTGGGACGTTGGTTGGATGGAGACATTCTTCATTTACATCCTTCCATGCCTCAGAAATTCTTCTGTAAAATTCATCTACTGCTTCTTGTCTCGTGGTGTCATGTTGCTTCATGTAACACTCCACGCTTGAAGCTACATGCCCTCTCTCTTGCTCAAACTGCATAGGAAGAAGAAGCATTCAAAGTTGAAATTCATGAGGGAAGAGAAGAAAGATAAACTGAAGCCAAGGGACGGTCAAAAAATTATAGACCTCATGGGAGACTATGTCGTCAGTGAGTCTGCAAATTATTGAAGAAGCTGTAATCATTTTGGGGTTACTAAGAATCCAATCAAAAGCATCCTTGGTTACAATATCCCCCATTCCAACAAAAGATGTGGTCGATAGAAGTGAGTGGGATGAGGTGACTGATGCAACTTCCATGTACTCTTCCATTGTCGGGACATACTTGTAGTGAAACCATTTGGCTTCAATCAGATAAGCTCTAGCTAGATCCTTCACCTGGTGAAAACCAATAAAATCATCCTCCAATTAAAATAGGTTTTTTTTTTTTTTGTCTGAAAAAAGGTAGTACTAAAGCAACAATCTCTTTTGGATTGTAAAGCTTAGCTGAGGCTCACCACTTCTTTAGCATAGTGCATCCGATACAATTTTCCTTCATCAATCATATATCCTTCAATTTCGTTGTAAACATCTAGGAGTGCCTCATAGAACACTTTCATGTACTCTGGCAGATGCTCTATTGCGCTGATATCCCATCTGAAAACAAAGTAGCCAACAATCAGAACTAATTTAGACCGAAGAAAATACAGTGAAGAAGGGAGTTCAGATACCGTACGTCTCAATTGCTTCAGTCAGGAGCTCGAGTTCTTTGATTGTACCATGCACATCGTAGATGTCATCAAGAATGGAAGCCATGGCAATTGCTTTGGTCAATATTTTTCTACCAAGGAAGTATTCTGGCTCAAAGTACACTCCTAAGATCCAGAAGTAACATTCTGTTATTCTGTCTCTGGCAAACGGTAGCTTCCTTGGTACATCTAAATCTTTCCACCACTTAAACCAATTCATTCTGATAGATTCAATTAATTGATTCCTGCAAGCATATTTTATCTTGATGCTCTATGTTTTAGAGGTTACCTTGCAATGTCACAGAGTTCCTTACGGTGCTCTTGTTATAAAATGTTGAAATCTAACTTTGCAAACCTTAATAGAACTTCATTGTGTAGAGGATCTTCTTGGTAGGAACGTATGTATCGATTGGCCTCAAGCCTTGGTAAGTTCTTATGGAGAGGTTGCCTTAATGCATGACTTATCTGTTTTGAAAGAGAGGAGGCTGAGGTTGCAGCCATGGACTGAAGATGAGTGGTAGTGAAAGCAAGTGCTTCTTCTAATATATCCTCCCCATGGACCCTTAAATGTGTGGCTTCATACAGGCTTAACATCCGTCGAACAGCACAGGTAAGGGTTTCTTTGAAGTTTCCTTGATCATCCTTAAACTTTTCAAACATGTCTCCTTCAAAATTCCAACAAAAATAATGAGCTGATGGTTGTTTAGTTGTGTCATGGTTAAAGCAGACTAGGTATCAGCGAACTAAGGGAACGTACCACATGAAATTCTATATCCATGTTGTCTAAGTAACCGAAATCGTAGAGAACTGCTATAAAGGTTGTCACTGTCATCCTGATCAACGCAGTTGGAATGGATAGTTTGCACTTGTCGCAAGATCTCATCAATCTCCTTTTCAAAATGGTAAGACACACCCAAGCGTTGAACTGAATCGATCAAGTCAAGTTTTGTTTCAGGCTTTTCAGACATTGCCATCAGCAATATCTGCCTCACTTCCTCCTTCAGCTCTTGGTGCTCCATTCTGTGTATTTCCTAGACAAAAACATTATATAGTCTCAGCCCCGCTCAAAACTTTAGCCCAAAAAGGCCAGAAGCATGCAGATATGTAAACATGAACAAACAAAAACATCTGTTCTTTTCTTTTGTCCTACAGTCTGCATGTAATACTTAGCAGCTTCTCCTCTAAAACATATACTTAAGTCTTGTGGAGTAAGGCAGGATTTTGCTTGCTAAAAGTTCCTTTAACTTCACAGAATAAAAGCATTAATTAGAGCTTGCTGTAAGATGTTAGTGTAAAATATATGCAATAAAATGCAACTTAGTTACCTCAACATTGGAGGCATATGAAAGGAAATAATCACCCCAAACATCAGGATGAAAATTAGCTGACCGATGATTGTTTTCGGTTTTGGAACATTGTGTAGGAGCACGAGCAGCAGCCGAAACCTGAACAGACATCCTGGTTTTTCCCAGTACTATAGTTTGTCTCTTACCAGTTTACTAGTTTAGCTAGCCTGGCTATTTTGGGGTGAAGGAGTTTCATGGACTAGAGGAATTTATAGACCTTTTGCAGGCTGGTGGCATTGTCACTGTGAATTACATGGAAATTTTTTTTTATATATTTTTGAAAATACAATATTTCAATGTCCAGAATGAAAGGAACGAAAACAACTTATCCTTAGAGGATAGCAACAAAATTTGATGGATGAGTTTTGCCCAAAGGGTAATCAAACATATATGCCGAAAGTGGAAATTCAGAACACAAACGTTAAATTCATCAGCAAATATATTTGCCAAAAGTAGAAATGTGTAAAAATTCTGATCAGAATTACTAAAGAAACAAGGACAATCATCATGCAAAAGCAATAAGATTTTACTTTATAAATCCTATAAAATCAGATTTTTTCTATCAATTTTTCTTTTTCATTTGAAAAAATGTTAGTCAAGAAAAGAACCATGATACATTTCAGTATTGGTCATGTATACTCTAGTTAAAAACATATTTTGATTATCTGATTTCATTCATGAAGGAGCTGCAGTACTAAGTGAAGAAGCATCATCCCGAATGTACTTCTGAATCAGAATTGTCTGACAGGCCATGTGAATGGTGGTCGGCAAGAATGTTGAAACCTGGAAGACAAAAACATATCCGGAATGTCTGGTTGAGAAAGCCTACTGTTATGGACCATGGTGGCATTATTACCACAATAAAAACCCACATGGGATAATATATAGGATTCTTTTTCTTCATTTTTCTTTTCAACGGGCCCTCATAGAGGACGTACCATAGGTTTAACATATGCCATGTTAAGCAATTAAGACCCATGCTAGCTAAAGTTGACAGAGCCTCAATGAATTGATTTGAACAATACCAAAAGCCCAAGAGAAAAAAAAGAATGGATTTGAAAAGTGGTTTTAATTTACAACAACATTGAGAAAGAAAAGAGGTCAATTCCTTCAATAAGAAGTACAGCCAGAACTGCTCCAGAAATGATCTTTACAGATTAAGAGCATAACCCTGCAGCTTCAATATTGCACCTGATACATCCATTTCAGAAGAATCTGGGGATAACCCTTTTTCAAGAAGTTCATTAGCTCTCTTTTGGTAATACTAGGCGGTCTTGACCTTCAACTAGCTTCGCAGATCGAATGACATCCCCAGTTCTTATCTGTGGTAGAACTTCTCTTCCAGCAGTTGTATATCTACCAGTTGAAATTATATCAGATGAAAATAGCTTGATCAACAAGTAATCCATACAAGTTCAGGCGTATTCCTGAATGTTAAGATGACATTACCCGAAAACTGAAAATTGACCTTCATCAAAGGATATGCCTCCTAAACCAGCCTACATAACAAGCAAATCATCAGCATGCAGCTATAACCATATAAATTGTAAGATATGTCTTGGACAGGAGAAGTATAAAGAATATGTAGTAACATTGAAGTAAAACTTACATTTCTTTTATCATATAGATAGAAGAAAAACTGATATGGTGATGAGTACTCCTCAGAGTCTTCATTGTGTGCCATAGCAACAGCTCCATAGACTGATAGTGGAAGAACTGGCAATTCCCCATCCTTCCATGGGAATTAAAAGGATAAGAATAAACATTAATGGAAAATGGTTATTAGCTCTAGTTTCTGGATATATCTAGAAATCACGTATGGATTCATACCTGCACGTTTAAGGTTGTTTTGTACAAAGGCTCAAATTGTCCTGATGGCATTATTTCTAAGGGAACACTGTAACCTTTCTTATCAAGACTATTTTCTGAGATAATAGCTTGATTAATACAGCTGAGTTTTGTCCCATCATATGCACCATCAATCACCTGAAGAATTGTAGTTCATTCTGTCAGGGGAGCATTTGCAGTCCAATCATTTCAAATGTTCTTCTTCACAAATATTGCAGTATGTTAACCAATTTGCATACAGGAAACTTGAATGATGTAAATCAGGAAGTCAATGAATAGAATAAATCCACTATATATTTCAGCGTTGCTACATTTATCAATAACAAATAGCTATAGCTCAACTAATGAAAGCTTTGCTCCAACCACTAACCAAGGTTGATTAGGTTTAATCAAGCGTTAGCGTATATGAGAGTATAGTCATGTTGTCATCCATACATGGTATATGAACATATACATATAAACCTTGAATCTTTTCTTTTGTTCACAAACCATTTCATCACTACAAAGTATCATAAAAAGTTTAATAGGGAATTCCATTGAAACTTAAATGATAAAGGATAAAAAATCAATAGCAACAGTAAGAAGTTTAACTACCTTACCAGTTTTGCAAAATTCCCAGTGGTTAGTGGTGCTGAATATCCATCCAAAACAACCTGAATTAATAGTTGATTATACGTTAATGTTAAATTCGAAAAAGTTCCATTCAACAATCAACACCCAATTAGCTAGCTCTCTAACTCTTTTGACCCAAAAAAGGAAAAAAAAAATGGCATAGTTAGCCGATTTAGAACAATCGCAATGGTCACTGCTTGTTTTGCCTGGGCAATACTAATTGTCATTCCATCATGTTAGGCCACGACCAAAAAGGTAGGAGGACAGCTTCTCATGATATGTATTAAGGACAATTAACTTAGGATATAGAATAAAAGATAATTAATTTAAGATATGGGTCATACATGTAAGAAAGTCATACACATACAGTCCACACAAAAAGACGTGCACATTATAACTCGCATGAAGGGCATCTAATAGCTTCTGAGAAAAGTAGCAATCAAGTAAAGTATTCTAAGACAATTAGAATACTTTTCATATTTAAGTTTTCTTTACTTGTTGATTACTTTGTTTGCATAACAAGTAAGCTTAATTTTTAAGACATTTATTTCTATATCATTTACTTTATTTACACTCCAAAAAAGTTTAGGATTAAAATACTTTCTTATTTAATTTATTTGTGTTATAAGTAAGTTTAGCATGGATTGTCTTTACAAATAATCCCTTTATATTTCATTATAAAATTGAAAAGGATAGAGTTTTTCCTACTCTATTCTTTTGAGGCATTTTATTTTTCAATGTATTATAGTCTTTAAGGTGATAACAGCAAAAGGAGGAATTAACATGCTGACATTTTTGTAAAACAGTCAGGATCATGAATGACCAACTAAGTCAATAGGGGTTGACCACCAATTGGAGAGAAAAACAGAGAGAAAAGAGAGAGAGAGAGGTGAAAGAGAGAATTGAACGTTAATTAAAAATTTGCAATTTAGTTAAAAGCAACATTAATTAACTTCAAAGCTCTTCATCTAAAATTAATAAATGCACATGGATCTCCAGCCATATCTGGAAAATAGTATTAATAACAAGCAATAAATTAATCACTATTCGGCTAAATGGCTGGTTCGCACACCTGAATTGTGGCAGCCTTTCTTGGTTCACCACCAGCTTCTGGAGTAAATGATGAACCATCTCCTTTCTCAATATTAAGTTCAACAACTGCTCTCCCTGTTAGCCTAGAGATCATAAATAACACCATTTCAAGTTAAAAGTACAGACGCTATCCGTTTAAAGCCTACTTATCACATATGCAGTCTTGCCTGTTAGATGAGACTTAAATCAATGAATATCACCATAAAGCAATGAAATACATGCAAAAGATAACTAGAAAGATACAGCAGTACTAAAAATTGCAGTTAGATATCGATATCGAAATAATAGAGTTGTTCCTGTAAGAATGTTATTTTACCATGGCTAATTAAGAAGTTTTAAAAGAATTAATTTGACCAACTTAATATCTGAGGGGAAAAAAAGTAGTCTCCATGATATCCCATGAAAAAGAAACTGAAACAATCCCATCAGATTTCAGGACATGCTTGTTGTTTTCATCAAGTATCAGTGGCCGTCCACATTACTACAAAATATATAACAGGTACTTATACATTTACCATGAAGCAATCACTTGCACAGAACAACTTTGAATATGCAGAGTTGTGTGATGTGTGACATGAATGAAAATGGGGAAACTATGGCATGCTTCAAATGTATAAACTAAACGTAGTTTTTTGTTCGCGCAAGTGACAACCCCTACATAATCGTTGTGAGCCTGAAGTACTCGGTTTAACAATCTTGTGCAACATGAACATAGTAATAAGATTATAAGAAGGGTATTGCCAAATCATGGACTTCTTCTGTAAAAACTGGAAAACATGTTTCACAAATGATAGATGTTTCTCAAATATACCAAAAAATTTATCTTTGCTTTGGTTTGTTACTTATTGGTCCACTGTCATCCAAAATTTGATAACCAGGACAAAATAAAATGCTTTAAACAATCAGTTTATAAAATATAAAAGTAACAACCCTCACTAAAATATTCAGATCCTGACTTCAGCTGTTGGAGAAGACTGACCTTGGATATTTCAAGTATTGCTCAGGTAACAGAAATGACAACCCTGGGGCCTGTTCCACAATAATAAGTAGAGATGTTAATATGCTCATACCGTTTTAGCAACATAAAACTTCACACACTGCCAACAAAATGGCTGCAGATAAAATTAGCAGCTATAATTTAAGGAAAGAAAGCCAATCAGTATGTTGATTTTACAAATATCTTATAGCTCTTAATGCATCAAAAATACCCACAAAGTATAACTGGCGACTAAGAGTTACCTGTAACAACTCCAATTCAGCAACAGTATCTAGTGAAGATGCAAGGCCAACAGATACTTTATCTGGATCCTGATCCTTGATACTTTTCAGGAGTGCTTGCAATCCGCCCTAGTAAACCAAGGAATACTACAATCAGTCCATGAGGTCTCTGCAAATAATCATGAATCCATTCATCAGGGAAAACTCATTCCTATCAAAGCTAAATTTACATAACTGAGATGCTGGACTCATATAGTGGTCAGAATCTAGGCATGATGAAAAGCAACCCAAGGATGAAAGAGCCGTTCCATTTTCTAACACTCTGACACTATTTTCTGGCCATAATCCATGCATTTTCTGACCCTATCACTTTACAAGCATAGTCTGAGTGAACTTTTGGCTCAAAAAGGAGAAATGAATTACATTCAAATGAGTTGAGGCCAAATTTAACAGACTTAATACTGTATTTGAGATTCTCATCCTGTTCTTGTTTTTCTTCCTTTAGTGAACCAAAAGGTAGCTTTGTAGTTAATTTTTATGAAACGTGATCTCATCAAAATAAAAGAAGATAGAAAACTATGGATGTTAGACACTCTCCACAGTACCTTCCCATACCTTCCCGTCAATAAGAGATGTGTAAAGCATTGAACCCTTCTCCCTTAGATCTGCAGGTATACTTCCTAAAATAGGATCCTTTCCATCAACTGCTATCTGATATTAAGCAGGGAGATTAAAATCAAAAGGATAGGGAAAAACATAGATATACTTGAACAAGCGTGCATAAAAAAGCTGTTTATGATCTTGCACATGGGAGGACAACAGAGAATGCAGAGCATGAAAATAAAAGATGAATTAAAATGGTGGTATATAAAGTGAGATCTGCAAGGTGAAAGAAAAACAAAAGACAAATTTACAAGAGAAGATGGTATCCAAATTATAGATGGAAAACAAAACATAGAAACAAATGAATTGCAACAGGGGGGAACAGCAATCTGCTCTGCAATAGAAAGCTTTGATCTGTATGGATGATCCTGCCTAAAGTTACTCAGCAAAATCATTGTGGAAACAAAGACAAGAAGAATAGTAAAATTCCCATAAAATGCAGGGAGACCTCTCAGACTAAAATGCAAATATTAAACAGCAGAAATCCCATGACATATTGGTTCAATTTGTTGAATTACACCAGGCTTCAAATTTTGTGGACTCCAGTGGTATGAGTTCTTTATCTTCTTTAAATTTTGTACAAAAGGAAATACTTGATACCTTAAGAGCTTTCTTCACATTACCCTCCATGCTTCCATAAGGCTTTCTTTGTGGAATCCTTAGCAGGTATGAAATATCTTCCAAAGAAGCCTAAAAGCAAAAGAAAGATGGTCAAAGAGGCTGATTAGTATCTAATTATACAGAATATGTGAACTCAACTATCAATTTACAACCTGTATAGCCTTCATGTTTGTGTTTGCTGGTATAGCCCTTCTTAAAGCAAGCTCCCCAGTCCTTGGAATCTTTGTTTCGGGAGAGTAAAGCACAGCATTTGCAGGCAAAACGGACCAGAAGTCCCAACCACCTAAAGGCAGTGGAGATGAAATTTGGGCTAAAATAAGTATCACAGCTACCAGACTCTCAAGTTTCTTTCCATTCATAAATGTTGACAAGTTCAAACTTGTAGGAATATTGCTCCAGGGTGACTGATCCTGCATCAGTGGAAGCCCTTTTAGAAAGTAGGACAAAGCTTGAAAACAGGAACTGGATTGGCAAAGAAGCACATAAAAGGTGAACAGTTGAGAACTATCAGAGAGAAGAAAATGTGAAACTGATAAGATAATTGAACAAATTTGTCAAGTATGTAAGCAAGTTAGGTTCTTCATTACTACTTCAATGTTCAAACTCCAGCCAAATTCCAAAGCCTTAATTCAAGTTATGGATGACATAGATCATGTAACATTCCAGTCACAGGCACATAAATATCTTTCTAACTGCAGACAGCAGTAATGAGATTTTCGAAAGAGAATTGAGAAGAAAGCAAGAAACCAGTCATTAAACACAATTGAAAATCAGAAAACAACATCAAACCCCACAAATTATATAAAGGTAAATCTCACAAGAACTCAAGGTGAAAAACGAAACCAAAAAAGAAAAGAAAAAACCCCAACCTTGACAAAGTCTTTAGAAACCTTGCACTGAAATTTAAGTTGAACTGGTCTTGCATTCTCTTGACTACGAGCTCGGCTGAATCGAAAAGCGAAATGGGTAGAGAGGAAATGCTGCTTTGGAGTTGAAGGAGTGAAGGAAAGAGTAATGGAAGAGGGTAAAGGAAACGCCATTGCCCAAGAAAAGGAAAAGTTGGTTGGTAGTTACACTGAAGAAGGATGGAGAGGTTTTGGCGCTCCTCATCTGGAAATATGATTACGTGGAAGATTTTGATTGGATGGTTGCTGGCCTTGTTGGATGATGATATGGCAACTCAGGCTTCAAGCTAAGGACGTGATTGGGTTTAAGTCTACACTTCGAGACTCAAAGATCGGTCTTAAGCCAGGCCCAACCCACGGATTCCTATCCAAACGAGGGATTAATGGATTATTGCCTTAACCCTGCAACCAAACAGTCGTAACAGAAAAAACAACAAGAATAAATAAATCCAACGGCTAGATCAAATGCCCGGCCGAAGAGCTTAACACTAGATCCCTGGCAAATTGAATCCATCGAGAGAGTAGGAACGTATAAGCGAGGCCAACACTCCAAATCTCACTGAAAAGAACTTTTTTTCTTCACAATTCCACATTTGATCTATGGATTTTGTAAGGTTTGTATAGATCGAAAAGAAGAGAATGGCTAATTATTTAGCTCAGTTTCAGACGATCAAGAGCTCTTGTGATCATCTCGTGATTGCTGGTAAGTCTTTTTTATTTGAATTAAACTCTTTACTCTGGGTTTGGGTTTAGTTTCTTTTTTCTTTTTTGGGATTTTTATGTTGTTGGGTGGGTTGGATCGGAGGATGTGTTTACTTTACTGTTAGATCTTTTATGTGTATGTTGTGATGGTTGATGTCAATTGTTGGTGATTTGAGGTTTTAGTTGATTTTGTGAGTTGGGTAGTTGAATTTTTGAAGTGAGGGATTGGTTTTCCAATGTGGAGAGTTAAGTTGAAATGGGTAATTGTTGGTGATCGTTTGGTAAGTGTAGTTGGTTTGAGCTTTTTAGTTGATTTTATGAAGTTGGTTCTTGATTATGTTGATTGAGTGCTTGGTTAGACATGTGGAGAGTTGCTTGAAATGTGTATGAGCTTGTTAGCTTGTATAAATGTCTGTGATCGTCTGGTAAATTTAGTTGCTTTAAGTTTTGTATAAATGTCTGTGATTGTCTGGTAAATTTTGTTGCTTTAAGTTTTGTATAAATGTCTGTGATCCTTTTGACGGCTGGATTGATTAGAAGTGTGGAATACAGAAAAAAAAAAAGAACAAAAACATAAAGATATGGATTTATCAATTATCTAATGTATGATTACATGAGTTGCTGCTGTTCAAGTAGTTTGTATGTAATAATAATTGGCAAATGAATGTTGGCACAAGCTGGCAAAAAACCTGTATGATCTTTCCTTGCTATAGATTTCTATTTAACTATTTCATTATGAACTGCTTTACAGTTGAAGATGTGAGTGACTTGTGGCCTACCATCAAGAATAATTTTGAAGAGCAGCTGCCATTCAAAAGAGCTTGCTTAAATAACAAGACCCGTAATCCTGTGTTTGTGGAGAATTTGCCAGCTGAATTCATATTAACCACCGATGCAAGACTGCGTAGCCGATTTCCTCAGGAGCAATATTTATTTTGGTTTCGAGAGCCTTATGCAACTCTAGTTCTTGTTACATGTGAGGTACACACAATCTCATTTATGATCTGAATTCAATATTTGTGTATCATATGAAAATTTCTTTTAGACAGATTTCAAACAGAAATTACCAAAAAAGCTGCATTATTTTTGTTCTTGAAGAATATGAATAAGTTGGAAAAGACCTATAAATTTTCAGATTCTTAAACTTACAGCCCACACTTTGAGAAAAGACAGTTCTTCAACTTTTCTTATAACCCAAATCTTCATTCTTCACTGAGCCTATAGAAGAGCACCTAGTTGTCTGGGCAATCCTTTTCTTTCCATTGTTGAAACAGTGAAATATGATCTCTGTCCACTTAATGTTCATTTTAGCATGTTCCAATTTATTTATTAAAAACCTTCTGTTTGATAGTTGTTATTGTTGGCAAGCTATTCGTTGGTGTGCATATAAATGCATGTAATTCTAGTGCAGGATAGCACCAGTTGTCTTCCATGTCAGAATCTTTATGTTGCTCTCTTGAGTCTGAATGAATAAACTAAAAAATCCTTACTTCGCCTTGTTTTTGATGAGTGAGCTTGGATTACTGCTTTTCGGCCCTTAGGAAGGACATGAAAAGCAGTGGGTCGTGAAAAATATCAGAATTAGAAATCAAAAGGAAAAGGAAATTGAAATATAATTTTAGCTTCTAAATTTATACTTAGACTCTTCTTGGTAGCTTCTAGTTCTTTTTTATCTTGTTTATGTTTTATTAGCATTTGGCTTAATCTTTTAATCTTTCTCATGTTCATTTTCCATTTTGATATATTTGCTTATTGTTTGACTCACTTGATTTTCCCAGGATCTTGATGAGTTCAAGACCATTCTTAAGCCACGCCTGAAATTAATTGTCCAAAATGATGAGCGTGAATGGTTTATTGTATTTGTGTCTAGAGCTCATCCAAGCAATGATCAGGCCACCAAAATGGCAAAGAAAGTATATGCTAAACTTGAAGTTGATTTCAGCTCCAAGAAGAGGGAAAGGTAAGCTTGCAGCTTTCTGCAGCTTGTATATATTCTAATTGATGGCATGAGTGTTAGGTAGGAGTCAGGTCTTGGGTTTCATTCTTAAGTTTAGCGTTGATGTGATGTTGTATAGGTAGGAGTCAGGTCTTGGGTTTAATTCTTAAGTATAACAACAGAAAATGTCATGAAGTTGCTGTGATTGTTTCCCCTCTTCTTAGGAGTGTTATTTTTATATTCTGGCATTACCTAAAGATTTGTTTCCTTGGTACATAAAAATATTTTTTGTCATTGGCTAACAACTTGATGCTGGAATGTTGTGCCCATGTTGCAAATTTTAGGAGAAAATAGATATGGTGGAACTTCAAATGTAGCACCCTCAAGAAACTGGTGTTTGACTTTACCTTTGTCATTTTCTGATATTCTAAAACTGTGCTTTCACTTAGGTGCTGCAAGTTTGACATACATGGTCCTGAAGCAAATTTTTGGGAAGACTTAGAGTCAAGGATTATGGAGTCTATCAGAAATACATTGGATAGACGTGTACAGTTCTATGAGGATGAGATACGCAAGCTTAGTGAGCAGCGATTCATGCCAATTTGGAACTTCTGCAATTTTTTCATTTTGAAGGTTTGGTCCTCTTTCTAAAATTTAGGGAATATGGGTATGGCTGATATTTACACGGGGATAAACTTTATGATTTTCTGTTCTTTTGTTACCCATTGTTATCCTTTTCTGGCTTTCTATCTCTGAAGATTGTAAAAAGAAACAGAGCACTTACCGAAGAGGCCCTAACTTAAAAATTGATTTTATCCTTTGAGAGATATAATCCTAATTAATTATTACATTATTTTTAAGCTTATTTTTGAAGTCTCTGACTATTAAACACTTCATTTTCCTTTTCCTTAGGAAAGCTTGGCTTTTATGTTTGAGATGGCTCATCTTCATGACGATGCCTTGCGTGAATACGATGAACTAGAATTGTGCTACTTGGAAACAGGTGTGAAATATATATTTATGCCTATATGTTAAAGTGTCTATGTTATCTTGTTTTTACTTTGCTAGTGTACATTATTTTATTACTATACATTCAAACTGCACTATAATTTGACAAATAGCCTATGTCTCCATTTCTCTTTTATGTTTAGTGCTTCAAACAATAAAATTGAACTGATCAAATATTTTTCTTCTATCAGGAAGGGTGGGAAATTAGGTAATCATTCAATACATACAAGATTATAAATAAGAATTTCCTGTTGAAACGTGAATATCAGTAGTCCTTAGAGTCAAATTCCATTCTTTACATAGTCTTTCGCTTTTTCCTGTAATTTTCTTTCTTAAAAATTTGGCAGCCCAAAAATATTAACAGTGACACATTGTGAATGTGATATGTCAGTATATCTCAGTTTTTATTTTCCAGTTGACTTAGTGATGAGATATGTGAGGGCATTTATTGTAATACCAACTTTATGATTGGGAAATTATTAAGATTTCATCTGGAAATGCTCTTTTTTCTTGTGAATTTGGGTAATTGCTTTTGGCCAGGGCACTTCTTGATCTTATTTAATAATATATAAGTGCAGTTAATATGGGTGGGAAGCGTAGGGAGTTTGGAGGACTAGACCACGGTGATGATCAGGCAGCGCTGCTCAACCCTGGAAACAAACCATTGACACAGATTGTTCAAGATGACTCATTCAGGGAATTTGAATTCAGACAGTATCTCTTTGCTTGTCAATCAAAGGTGTGCAGTACTAACTCTTATGACTTTAAATTTGTTATACATGACACAGCCTAATTTTTGAGTAATCACCATTAAGTGAGTTTATATCTATTGGCAATTTTTAGAACTTTATCAAAATGCTCTTCTTATGGGTTATTTGAATTCTATGGTTAATTGATCGACAGCTGTTGACTATGTTACCTTCCATTTAGTTCAAATGGTTAAAGCAATTTCCAATGATTTATTATTGGCCTTTCTTAAAATGTTCTATGGATGTTTCTTTGATCTCATTGGCTTATTAGTTTCAAAGCCATAGTTGGCATGTCTGTTTTTGTGCTTATACTTTGTGTCACTGATTTAAGTTAACTTGCAGCTCTTATTCAAGCTGAATCGTCCTTTTGAGGTTGCTTCAAGGGGTTTTCCATTTATAATTAGCTTTTCAAAAGCCCTGGCAATACATGAGGTATTTGATATTGTTTGTTTCTGTCAGCAACAATTCTGGTCATTGTTTGATTTTTTCCTTTTTTTTTTGTTTTAATCCTCTCCTCTTGGAATTCTTGTAGAATATATTACCCTTCTGTATGCGGGAAGTTTGGGTGATCACTGCATGCTTAGCTTTAGTCAATGCAACCAATTCTCAATATAATGAGGGTCATGTAGCCCCTGAGATAGAAAAGGAGTTCTATCGCCTTCAAGGTGATCTTTACTCGCTATGTCGGATTAAGGTAAATTTCTAGTGCTTATTATTATAAATGATAAAGGGATGGCAAGTTGTCATATTGTTTAACAACCACTGGAAAATATTGATGATTGTGGCAGTTCTTGAGGCTTGCTTATCTAATTGGATATGGAACAGAGATAGAAAGGAGTCCTGTTAACAGGTATGCATCCAATTTTTGTAGATCAAATTGCATTTGACCTTCCACAAATTTGGTCACTTGTTCCAAAATTTGAAAAAAAAAATAGAAGGCTATTCCATGTGGTTGAGCCTGATTTTCTCACTATGCCAAAAAGTTACCTTCATGTTGTTTTGTGGAGTTTTCGTTGTATATGTATGGATGCATCATTATTTTCTTTTGAGCAGTGCTTCTCTGAGCATGCTGCCTTGGCCCAAGCCTGCAGTTTGGCCTTCAGTTCCAGATGATGCTTCCTCCGAGGTGCTCGTGAAAGAAAAGGCAAGTTATTATTCCACATTTGTAATTGTAACTCAAAACCAGCAAAAAGGCACAACTTATACACAGACACTAAACCTTGTTAGTGCAAAATAATTTCTATGTTCTCTCTCCCTCCAACTTATGTAGGACTTCTAGTTGTTTTTATTTTCATCTTGTATTTCAACATTCAAAGCATTATAATTGAAAGTGTATAAGTTGCTGATAAGGAAATGGATGTATTGATTGAAGGATCAATAATTGAAAATTTTTTTGGGTACAATAATGGAACATTTTAACAGAATAGAGATTTAAATTAGAAAAAAATGGTGTGACTGCAATAATGGCCTCTCCTTATTCAGTGGTTCCTTTCAAAGTAGAAACTTTTCTAAGAGAAGAAACTAGATCAGGTTGGCAACATTAATATCTTTCCATGTCTGCATGCTTTAGATCCACATAAAAATGTTGTTTCTTGGTGGTTTTTGCCTTTTCTTGCTAGAACTTTGATGAAAGTGGCCTTTTTTTTTGAAGTACATAATAACATTTTACTTCTTCCAAATATAGGTTCTTTAATGGCAATGATAGTTTCAGATGCCAAGTTCATATTTTCTAAGCTGAAGGTGCTATGTCCTCCTACCACTGGAATAGTGGCTTTTTTTTCCTCTAGATTTTGAGAAAGCATTATTGCCAATGCATGTTTTCTTAGTCTTAGGCTTTATGCATTCCACGATTTCTATAGTCCATTAACTTCTTCACTTTTAATCCATGTAATTTACATTTTTGGCTCAGATGATTCTGCAAGAAACTCCTAGAGTCAAGCACTTTGGTATTCAGAGGAAACCCTTGCCCCTGGAACCTACTGTTTTAATACGTGAGGCAAACCGGCGAAGGGCTTCCCTTTCTGCTGGAAACACGTCAGAGATGTTTGATGGTCGACCTGCCTTTGCCGATGGGTAAGGAAATCTCAAGAATCAAGGCAAATGTTGCCTTAGCAATTTTTTGAAGATAACTTACTCTTGGCTTGAAGTTTTTCATGTCAAGAAATTGTTTCGACTTTATGTTTGCTTTTTCTTTTAATATTTGCCATTTTGTTTTTGTAATTAAAAAGTTTTTATGTCAAGTAAATGTATGCATGCTGACAGATCAGGCTCAGATGTATCATTAAAGACATCCCCGTCAAATAAAGTACAAGCAATATCGATGTCACGTGCTCTCTCATCTCCTGGATTCGAGGGCTCCATTGATCGACCTATGAGACTTGCTGAAATATTTGTTGCTGCTGAACATGCTCTGAAGCAAACAATTTCAAATCCTGATCTGCAGAAAACTTTGTCATCTATAAAGGAGTCTGAGGTATCAAACTGAGGCTGCACATACTTGCATTGTTCATGTTTCCACCTTTAAAAGCCTTTTTTTTGTTGGGGTGAGGGGGTGGGGAGAGGACACTGTACTTTCCTAAAAATTCTCTTCTTCTGTCCCTGGTATTGGTTCTAGGTTTACTGGGCAATCTCTATGTCCACTAGGATGATTTGGAGTCTTTCAAAATATTAACACATTTATACCACAATTACATTCTCCTTGGGGTTATCATTGGGAAGTCCCAACGATCTAGTTTAGACTGTTAGTCATTCTATAATCCAGGATTTATTTGACCGATGCGGAGCACTGATATTCAGTATTTAATCTATCTTCTTTTTCTCTTTAATTCCTTTTCATGTCATGGCAGCAAAAATATATGGAGCTCACTAAAGGTGCTGCTGACAATTACCATCGTTCTTGGTGGAAAAGACATGGAGTTGTCCTTGATGGTGAAATTGCAGCTGTCTGTTTTAAGCGTGGGAACTTTGACCTAGCTGCGAAGTCATATGAGAAGGTTTGCGCTCTTTATGCAGGTGAAGGATGGCAAGATTTATTGGCTGAAGTCCTGCCCAATTTAGCTGAATGTCAGAAGATACTCAATGACCAAGCTGGCTACCTGTCATCTTGTGTGCGATTGCTTTCACTAGATAAAGGTTTATTTTCGATGAAGGAACGCCAAGCTTTTCAGTCAGAAGTTGTTAGTCTTGCACATAGTGAAATGAAGCACCCTGTTCCTCTTGATGTATCATCATTAATTACTTTTTCCGGGAATCCTGGGCCTCCTTTGGAATTATGTGATGGGGATCCTGGTACCTTATCTGTAACTGTTTGGAGTGGCTTTCCTGATGATATTACTCTTGATTCTCTTACTCTCACTTTGATGGCTACATATAACGCTGATGAAGGTGGGAAGGTATGGTTTCTAAGACAAGATGATGCCAGTATGTTTGTACGCTATGTCATAGCATGATATGACTCGGTTATTTGATTCATATTTCAGTTAAGGAGCTCTACTGCCACTGTGCTAAAGCCTGGTAGGAATACAATTACCTTTCCTTTACCACCACAGAAACCTGGTTCCTACGTCTTGGGGGTTCTTACTGGACACATTGGACACTTGACTTTTCGATCTCATAGTTTTTCCAAGGGAGGTCCAGCAGATAGTGATGATTTCATGAGCTATGAGAAACCGACCCGGCCTATACTGAAGGTACTCTCTCTCTCTTGGTTTGAAAGTACTGTCTCTCAAGTTAATAGGGATTAAGAAAAGTTGTGGATAATAATGTTCATAATCATCGGTGAAATTCATGACTATGGGATCAAGAAGCGCATTTATTCTTTTGTTTTATTTCTTCAATCTTCTGATCAAAGTTTCTCTTTACTTAGGTTTCCAAACCGAAACCTCTGGTTGATCTTTCTGCTGCTATATCATCTGCCTTACTGATTAATGAAGCTCAGTGGATTGGAATTATAGCACAACCTATAAACTACTCCTTAAAAGGTGCTGTCTTGCATATTGATACTGGTCCTGGTCTGAAGATTGAAGAGTCACATTCCATTGAGATAGAGAACTACAGAAATAGCCCTCAGAGTTCTGCTGATATGGCAAACTCTGGTGATGCTAGGAAAGATAGTTCTGTGGCTGCTAATAAGGACTTTGAGCAGCTAAGTCTCCACAATGGTAAAATAGAGTTGCCAGATTGGGCCAGTGATGTGACCTCAATTCTATGGATTCCAATTCGTGCTATTGATGACAAGCTTGCAAGAGGGTCATCTTCAGGTGAGGAAAAAAAGTCCAAATTTGTGACGGTTTTAGTTGTGAGTACATGTTTGTTTGTAAAAATGCATCTTTGTGCACTGGTTTTGCTGCGTCTGACGGCTAGGACATTTACGATTTGTTATATGCTGTGGCAGGGGCCCCCCAGAGACAGAGCATTGTGGATGGAATGAGGACAATAGCTCTGAAACTTGAATTTGGAACATCAAACAACCAGATCTATGACAGGTATTGCCTTTCCTCACATTTTTATTTTTAACATCTACAAGTTTCAATGTGAATTCCCTCTCACACACACACACTTGCACGATACACCCACCTGCACCTTGGGAGCCTTCAAGACAGACTTTCTTATGTTGTCTCTCTGGTTTTAAACGGACTGGTTTTTGTATTTGATTTCTGAACTTCATTACATGATCTACTCTGTGATATGCAGAACCATTGCTTTGCATTTCACTGACCCTTTCCATGTGAGCACACGTGTTGCGGATAAATGCAATGATGGTACATTGCTTTTGCAGGTCAGTATGTCCTAAGCTTTCAGCCACGTTCAAATATGTATGCTTTTGTGGTACATTTTAATGAAGTGGTCATATATAAATAAAAGGACTTCAGCTTCATGTCTCTCAGTTTTCTTACATATTGAACATAGAAATGGGCTAGCAAGAAGTCCATTCAACAGCCCCTTTTCTCTATGTGCATGGTTATGCCAGTTTGGGTGAGGCAGACCTCCTAATCTGGTTTTAAACATTAAATTGAGATTGATGAAGTCCTTAGACTACCTCCTAGTATAAGCCAACTTGCTTTAATCATTAGTATTGTGTACAGCCTGCAGAATATGTAAATGAAGGTGTTGCTAGTTTAGTAACAAGATTCCTAGACTCAATGAAGAATGAAGTGTAATTCAAAACTCCAGACTCTTTGTGACAATCTGTAGTAACAAGATTTTGCTCCTATTGAATATAGAATTGCCCAGACCTGGTCCAAAGTCCTGTTTGAGCATTCTTCAGTTTAACCTGAGTTGAAACTATCATCCTTGCAACACAGTCCATTCTGACTTATGCTATTATCTTTTGTTTCTTTTTTCTTCATTAATGTCTCTCATGTAGTGACACCGGATATGATGAATCGTAGGGTTATGAAATTATCTAAATGACTAAATCTCGAGGAATTTAGCATATGCTGAATTAATATTTAAAGATTCTATTATAAAAGGAATATCATAGGATTTGGGTTTCAGTGACTTGAACTTGAAGAGAGGAAGTAAGAACGATGCAGTAAAGCTGCCAAACCACTAATCCTATTATTTTTGTCTGGTCTACTTTTGGTGCAGAACTTCGGTCATCAATGGACAAGCTTGAGCTTGTTGTATAGCATCTGAAAATATGATCAGTTTCTATTTTTTTAGTAGCATTGCTTGATCAGTGTGTATACCACTTCATATGTCATTAACTGACAGTGCATGTTGGACTAGGAATTAACCATATCTAGGGAAATATATTTATCCATTGCATGTGAGTAAGAGAGGTTGCTTGAATCTTACATTCATGGTGTATGCCAAGATCAACATTTCTGATTCATATTTGTGATACAAATTTCCTATGGCTCTTCATATTTTGTATGAAGCTTGCGTTGGTTCATGTTACTTCCAGGTAACACTGCACTCCCAAGTGAAGGCCACATTGACTGTTTATGATGCTTGGCTTGATCTTCAAGATGGATTTGTTCATGCTAGACAAGGAGATGGAAGACCAATTTCTGGCTTTTTTCCACTTGTCATATCTTCAACTTCAAGAGCAGGACTCCTATTCAGTGTATGCTTGGGGAAGAAATTTGCTGAAGGTATGGACTTCTGCTTTTGTAATTCTTGACTGTTTATTCACATTAAAATGTCAAACACTAGTGGTTGTGCCTTTTTCTTATAATTTTATCATTAACAAGACCTATATATGATAACCTCTCATCAGCTTACCCCTCTCACTTTGGCTTACATTGATGACAAGTAATCTACCCCTTGCTTCACAGATGAAAACAAGGCTCAACAAGACAGTATATTAAACATCAGATATGGAATTGCTGGTGATAGAACCATTGGGGCTCACCCCCCTGTGGCTGTGAAATTAAATGAAACTGAGGGTACTGGTCAAGATTTAATCTTCAGGAGTGCTCTAGTTTTGCAGCAGCCTGTGCTTGACCCATGCCTGGCTGTTGGGTTCCTGCCCCTTCCTTCTGATGGTCTTCGAGTTGGGCAACTTATTACCATGAAATGGAGGGTTGAAAGGTTGATAGACATTGAGGAGAAGAGAGTTCCTCAAAACAATGTAAGTTACAAAAATCCTACTCTTGGCCAAAATTGAGCTACAAGTATTTAGGAATAAGCATGCATCCATGTCCGTACATCTTTTGAGTTAAAATTTGGTAAATTAATTGTAGCAAAAGACCTTTATTTGTATTATCATGAACTTTCTTTCTGGTTCCCATCACCTAGGCTGGGATAAGGAAAGCATAGGGATGCTCTATATTTTCTCATAAATCTGTAGAGAAGCTATTAGTGAATACTGTGCATCTCTCCTGAAATTTTGCGTACTCAGCTACTATCTATCTCTTGTTTGACAGGTTGAGATGTTATATGAAGTCAATGCAAATTCTGAGAATTGGATGATTGCTGGGAGGAAGAGGGGGCATGTATCTCTCTCCACAAAGCAAGGTTTACAAACACCTTCTCTATTCACTTTATAATGATAATTCCCAATGGCTTTGTAGCCAAAGCAGAAAACATTCATATATCATTTCTGTTGTATGTAATTACCATTTTTTTTTTCCTGATACAGGTTCAAGGATAGTTATTTCCATATTATGCGTGCCACTTGTTGCTGGTTATGTCCATCCCCCTCAAATCGTGCTACCAGATATTGATGAGGCGAGTGTAAGCTGCAGTCCTGCTGGACCTCACCTGGTTTGCGTCTTGCCTCCTGCTCTCAGTTCATCCTTCTGCATTCCAGCATGATCGGCTCTCTGGCCTCTCCTCATGCTAGTCATCTCTGGTCATAATTCTCCACTCTTGAGAAGTAAATTCCATTCAATGAAACTTTTAACAGTCAGAGGAAAATTTTCAGGCATCCAATTTTTATTTTGCTTGATATTTGTAAATTTGCAATATTTTTCCCCCTTGCATTGTTGGGAAAAATCAAGAAAACTCCATTGATTTAGATTAGAATAGTTAGTTCTATCAATGCTTTCAATATCAGTTGTGCAATGTTCTTGGCTCATGTACATAAGAACTTGGGATAAGGTTAATCAGAACTTCACCTTCAATTTTGCTTGCCCATTTAATTATTATTTTATTATCAAAACAATAAAATATTAATTTATATTACCATTTTATATATTTAAATATAATTTAAAATGAAAATTAAACAAAAATATATCATTTATTATTATAATAATCTATCCAAGTCGAGATTAAGTCAAAATATTATGTCCAAACTTAATCAAAAGTCAATCAAACTCGTGTGTCTAGACAAGTAATTTGGTTCATTATCAAAATATCATATAACTATGTCATATTAATTTGGAAATCACAATTTATTCAAGAATCGAAAAATAAAAACTTATTTAAGTTCGGGATTTATTGAGTATTTTAACTAAAGCATTTTCATAAAACAGTTACCTTCCCAAAATCAGTGAACTCGAGACAAAACATTGAGGTATCTGGTAAGAAGGAAGGGCATATATTAATGAACTTAATAGTTTGAGAATATTTGGAAGGCACATGGGGGTTTGAGGCAATTAAATGTATGTGAACAGGACAATGAACAATTAATGCAAGATGGGGTTTTTCTAGATTGATGGTGAAACTTGAACAAAAACAGTGTGACTAAGCACAAAACCAACACATGCTGCAATTAATGTGTTTCTGATGATTCTGGTGATGCAACCAAAAAGAATCCCATCTGAGATTGTTCTTCAAGAAATTTTTATGCAGCATTGAGCTCGGATCACTGCCCTTTTCTTTTAATTTATGATTTTTTCCCCTTTACTTTGATGTTAAGAATTTCTAAGATTTAATTACTCTAATAGAATATTGATCGTTCTTGATTGATTGTACGGTATTTTTTGAATTTTTTTTATTTAATATTTATTTTAAAATTTATCCATCTATATACGATGTTTGATAAACAAATCCCTTTTCTTTGAAGATCAAATAATGATGCATTTTACACTAAATTTTTTATTAAAAATACAACTGATTAATATCCAAATTCAACCATTTGGTGTAAGAACAGTGGTAAGTACTCATTGTCCTTCACAATCTTTTGTACTGAGGGGGGAAGAAACAAACAAAATTTCCACTAAAATGATTGAGCAAAATGAGACAATATTCATGTGAGTGCATTTAGGGAAATGGGGCATATGCTTTCATGAAGGTTGTGAAATCACAAGGGGCAAGTGTTCACCAATAGGTGGAGACCAGAGAGCAAATTGATAAAAACCAAGCACCTAAGAAACCTTTCCTTTTTTTTTTTTTTTTTTTTTTGTCTAACTAATTTGGAGAAGAGATAGTTTGGATCCAAAACCTAACTAAATTCCACTAAGAATAGCATGTTTCATTATCAAGGATTTTAAAAGACAGAGAGATCTGACAACCCCCCAACCCTACACCAATCCCATCAGCTCACAACTCCACAAAGTCCCATCCCACCAAATAAAGCATCCCTATCTTCTCCATTTTTACCTCCATTCATTTGGTAAGCAGGCAAGCTCACTTCACATTGGATCAAGGGAAGTGCAAAAGAAACAACCTCATCATTACCAATCGCTGTGTTTCAGGATCCAAATCAAAACCCTTCTCTTTGTTAACAACTAGAACCACTTTTCTCCTTTGAAAATTGTAAAGAAGCATCTTCAGTATCATGAGGGAATTTTAGATATTTACTATGTCAATTATGAATAAATCAAAGTAATATACTATATCGATTTGTTTTATTTTTTATTAATATCGTAACGTATTCGTATTATAAAATATAAAAAACAACACAAGAAGATAACAACATGTAGCAAAACTTATTTCCTTATTCACAGAAAGCTTTGCTTCAAAGTACATAATAAGAAGAATGGTTATCAATCTTCATATTGATAACCATATTATAGATTACATAGGCTAAGTATATTTTTAATAAAAGCATCTGGTTTGGCTTCGTCTCCCCAGACTCGGAAAAAAAAAAAAACCTTAATCTCAACATTTATGTATAATTTTCATTTCTAATTCGATTTTTTCGAACATTATCATCTTTGACATCATCTAAGTAATAATTCTTTTTATGTATAATTTCACTTCTTCAGGTTTTTCGGAATTGCGAACCAAAATTTTTTTTTTACCACATCAGCATCTCCAATCCAACCGGACTTCGCCCGGGCCCACCATATGCTGACTAGGCTTCTTAAACGATACCATGTGGCTGCTGACCATGAAGGCTGTTACACGTTCGGAAACCCTAATGTCCTCCATCTTTAATTCTTGCAATCGCCGCACGTACTCCGGCACGTGGAGGAGGTCCCACACGACACCGACCCCGCCTGGTTTCAAGACCCTCACCATCTCCCCCAGCGCCCTCATCCTCTCCGCCGCAGCCTCCACCGTACGGTGGCCGTATTCTTTTCCCACCGGGTGTGCACGAACACGGCCGATACCACCACATCGAAATAGTTATCCCCGAACGGGAGACTCCTCACATCACCTTCCCTGCACGTCACGTACTCCCCCACGCCTGTTTCAAATTCCCCAATCAGCTTATTATAATTAATACTACGTAATTTATTATGAATTTATTATCTTACCCAAAAGTTGGTAGCAAGCAGAGCACTACAATTTAATGGGGGAACCAAACAAAGGTTACCGAGAAGGAAAAGAACAGTCACAAACCTTCCACGTTGGCGGTTCGCAGCGTGGACAACGTAGTCCGTTTCAACCGATCCAACCCAAACACCCGACCCCGAACTACCAGTCTTCTTCAGCTGCGTCGCCACCGCATTGAGCAAAATCCCTCTGCCACACCCAATATCGAGCGCCAGCCTCACGGTAGACCAATCGTTAACCGACCCCACCATCCGCTGCGCCATGTCGTAATGTAACGGCCCAGCGGAGTAAAAGAAGTTCGCCGCCGAGAAAAACAAGCAAACAGCCGAAATAGCCGTGACGGCGCCACTGAACCCGGCCGCGAAGCGGGCAGCGCCTGGACTGGAAAGAAACGTGTGGAAGAAGTGGAAGACAGAGTGGAAATAGAAGAGGAAGAGGACAGAAAGTAACGAGAAGAAAACAGCGTGGCACAAAAGAAAAACAAGAGTTTGCCACTGGTCCATGCCGTAAATGGCATAGATCTGAGTCCAATCTCTGCTGCTATTGCTTTTTCCCATGGCGTGATTTCCACTTTGTTTCTCTTTCTCCTCTTGATCTCTGCAAAAACGGAAAAGAAAAAAAAAAAACATAAAAGATTCAGTAAAGTAACTCACTATAACAAATAAATTTCGCTTTCCTTTCATAAACTTACCAGGAAAAGAAGAAACAGCTTGAAATTGGAAAACTTGGAATGATCTTCCAACTCTTTTACTACTTTCTTTGAGCTTTCCTCGTTGGGTTTTCGTTAAATTATCCGATCAACCAAATTAGCTGATGTTTTCGAAGCAAAATCCTATGAGTGATCCCAGAAATGATCACTTAAAACAGATATAAAGAAAGTAGCAGAAAATCGACTCGCGAGGAAAGATCAGAGGAAAAAGAAAAGTCATATCATATGATCCAAACAGATGGATAAAAAAGAGACAAATGGATCATGATTTATAGCATTATGAATCTGCAAATGTCAGTCGTACTGGCATTCGAGGATTAAATGAGAATGATCACATCTGCAATTAACAATTTTCTTTTCTTTTTTTCTTCTATTTTTTTTTCACGCGCTTTCGAATTCGTCCTTTTGGTTTTTTGTGAGGTTGATTGAATTTTATAGGGACAAGAGTGAAGAAAATTTTTCTTTTTTTTTTTAAGTTTAAAATCTAATCGAAAATTTTCTCAGTGAGTGGAAAATGTACGGAATTCTCCTCAGAGAGAGAGAAAGAAAAAGAAAATTAGAGAGCGAGTGAGATTCTGGATATAGTTTGTTACTTGCATAAGAGGAATAAAATAATTAAAAAGGGTAAAATGGGAATAAAAAATTTAAGACGGCACCGTATGACTCGTTAAGTTGGAAAATTTTGACTTTTTCTTTCCTTTTGGTTTCTTTTCAAGTTTGAAATCTAATGGCGCTGCCGCTGAATTTATTTTAATTAATTAGAGAGGTGAATTTTTTATATTAAAAATAGTTTAATTTAACAATTATTATTATATATATTAATATCAAAATTTTTAAATTTTATGAACAAGTTTATCTATCTAGATCACTTGACATGATCAAACATAGAATACGTTATATCCAAATTAAGTTTAAAATTTCAAGTTGGAGTTATTTTTTTTTGTAGAAATCGAATTTATTTGCTCACATAAAATTTTCGGCTAACATCAAATACAAATTGTCTAATCATCATGTAAAATTGAACGTAATATATTTATCTTCATGACTCTAAAAGACTCTAAAAGATAAGTATATTATAAAATATTAAATTTATATTCTCGAAACCATCCCAAATTCAAAAATTAAATTTAATAAACATTTTAAAAGTTTGGTTTTGTTTATTTTTTTATCTACATGTCGAATTAATGTTTTATTTAAATACGTATATATTAATACACAATATTTTTCAAGCACTCATACATTATGTAAAATAAATAAAGTATTTTGAACTTTGAAGTGTATATCAAACAATTTATTGATAATTTTATTATTCTTTTTAATATATACATAAATAAATTTGAAATGTAATTTTCTTTTTCGAAAATGGAAAAACAAGAAAGAAGAAAGATTCCCCGCATTGCCTACAAATTAGACACCGCAAATCATGGAGTGGGATGATCCTGACCGTACAACGTGGACATCCTTTTTTTAGATTGGTTTTTTCTTTGACCAAAGCAGTCGGCCGTCTCCATTGAATATTTCATGTTTCCTAATTTGCCCCTTACAAGTTGTCTTGATAATTTTTTGAAGTGACTAAAACACCCTTTGGCATTGATTAAAATATGCCCCATGAAAAACGAAAAAGAAAAATGCTTGCTTAGATGCTCTCTTTTGCCACACGCTTGTACACCAAAAGACAAGCATGTTCCTGTTGCAAAGTTGGATTACGACTTGTATACATTTTGTTTTTGTCTTCTTTTTTTAATATTTTCAT